TCTTTTTAATCTTTTTAATCTTTTTAATCTTTTTAATAGATTACTAGTTCTAGCTTTTATATCCTAAAAGTAACGATCTAGTAACGGGCTAGGCTACCTCTATGGCGGCAACGTCTAGCACATTTATCGGAGGCCTGGAATTTACAGGATCTTGGAATTTGCAGGACACTATACTAGAGACCATGTACCCTCTAACAAATTCTCCCTCCACCACCCTCCTCTTACACACACATCTCACAACACCACAGCGCTTTTATTCGAGGCACTTACAGGCGGCGCGTAAGAGGCACTCCATTTATCGAATGCAAATCTAAAAAATGTTCAAGAAAGGCCTGGTAGCACTTGTTCTTTCAGGCACTAAAAGTTAAAGAAAAAGAAAAAGACAGGTGTACCGATAACTGACCCACTGGTTCATGACTTGACAAACGCCGGCAAGTCGCCAACAAATCTCAAGGCGCTGCCGAGAGTAGTTATACCGTTCGCCACCATTGCGTCCTAATGTCATTTTTGGAAGTCGGCGACGGCATCCTGGTGCAACTAGTTAGGTACATACGCGAGTGAGGCCTGTTTTTGGACAGGGTACTAGACAGGTCTCTTTTTTGAAGGGGTTTTTTTCCCCTATCACAACGCTGTCAGGCTGCTACTACGTGTTAAAGATCTTATTTGTTTTTTTAGAAGCCGTGTTAGACGCCTGACAGCGTTATGACAGGGGAAAATTACATGTTGAGTGGAAAACGTGTCCAGTGCCCTGTCAGAAAACAGGCCTCACGCGCGTAGGTAGTTTTTTAAGCTCTTCTAGTGCGGAATTGACCCATGGTCAAGGACCGGGGGGGAAACCCCCATCGAAAAAACCAGCGTGCGTGATAATCTAGTATCCCAACCCCATAAATATGGCGGACGGGAGGAGCCGTGGATCTAAGAAAATGGTGGATCTGGAACAGGTTATCTGAGATCTAGATCACGAGAGCCACGGCACGAGGCGACGGATGCCTTGTCAGATCAATCGCGGGCCATATGCCTAGCTTACTTAAATCGCTGACCAGTCAGTCGGCTTGGTGCGTCTGCTCCCCTGACCACACCTGATGGCGCAACGCTATTTCCAGGTCGAGTGTTCCCCATGGTCTAGACCATCACTCGTCAATAACCAGGCCAAAGGATTAATGCTACCGGTATAGAGAGAGAACTTTTTCGTTCTTTATGTTCTATCAGGTGTATTAAAAGTCGTGCAGCTTGAAAGAGGAGTATAGCAGCGTTACATACAAACAAAGCCTAGGCCGACAGCCCACGGAGTCCTCCTGCAAAACGAAAAAAAAAAGGCACCTCGATATTTGGTCCTTGCTGGCGTACAACAAGGTCCTAGAGGTCGGGTAATGTCCTAATCAAAGACGGCAAAGGTTGCAAGGCGTTCTTTGCCGTCTTCTTTTGTCCTCTGTCGGCTTGCCTGAGCCCATGTTGAACGGTATCCGGCCATCTCGCGGCCTACACTTGGCGCATTCGAACTCGTGCTCGTACTCGTCATCCTGTTTCTAATTTCAGCGTGCACACTACAGCTGCTAGTCATGGAGCCGCGAATCTTGACGACGCGAACGCAAGCCGCCCGCTGATGATCACCAAGAGCCCGCTGCCAGTGCTGCGCATCGGAGAGGAGAGCAGTGTTTGCGGGCTTGAGACGGTTGATTCGGAAGGAGACGAAAGCGTTGCCTCACAGTGGCGCTGCAAACTCGCGCTGTTCGACAAGCTCTTCTGCGATTTTCGTCTGATTTGGTCAGGTAATTAGCTACTTTCTTTTTTTTTTTTTTTTTTTTTTTTTTTTTTTCCAAAAACCGCTTAGGTTTGTGTAGGCTGCCTATAAGGCACCCCCTACAGTGCTGTTGTGCGCTGTTAGTATGTGCTAGCGTGGACCTTGTTCTAATAGCACAGCACAACACATCAAACAAACAAAAAACCGCGACGCGAATCTTTCTCCAGGCACCTTGAAGCGAGCATACCTGAACTCTAGGAAAATGGGACAGAGGTTTCACCTCGTAGCCCCCCGCGCCAAGTTTTCCTTGTCCTGGGGAGGGAAGCTCGGAGAGATTCTCTTTGACGGATCAGCCCAAGTCCTCGTGAGCCTTCTCACTGTCCCTGTCCGGCCGTCGACACCTCGTCTTATCAACAGCCGCCTAGCGACCCAGCTCCAGCGCGGCGGTGATGGCACGCCTTCCACCGACCTCGCCGAGGACAGCTCGGCAAACAGGCTTGCGAAGCGGAAACAACATCAGCGCACGGCGTCTGTGGTGGACTCGCCACCGCGCAAACGGGCAAAGCCCCAAGGTGACAACATCGCCCAGACTGACCAGCCCGTCAAATTCTCTGCGCTTCCGGTGGAAGTGCACCAACTTATCTTCGCCCACATCGAGCTGGTGGACGATGTCGTATGTCTCGGTACCACGAGTCGGTACTTTTGGGCCGTGAGCCAAGAGTATATACACAACTTCTATACTGGTTTCCTGGGGCGGTGGGCTGGCAAGAACATCGTTTGTGTGGGTGAAGACGTGGAAGCAGGTGACTACCCGCCCAAGTTGTTCTCGGAAACTGAGCGAGAGGAGCTTTGGCAGACGAGCACCAACAAGATGTACACCGAGGACTATCCGGATGGAGTGCAATTTCCTCCAGTTCAGTTCACCTTGCATCACTTTTCGTACCCCAACGTTTCTTACATCGAAAAGGACGTCAATTTCCTATCCGAGTCCTTAAAGCTCCTCGCCCGTTGCAGCGCTCGGGGCAGCTACGTGGACGTGGCGTATCTCATAGGCTCGGCGCTCCTCGTGGAGGAGTCCGACTACTGGCCCCAAGACGAGCGCTGGGTACTTCGCAACCTGACGACGAAGGAGTTTGTCCGCGCCGAGGCCGTCGCCCTGAAACCTGAATACATCCACGGACCCAAGATTGACGTGCTCGGATTTGGCGAGGTTGTCATGTCGCGCATCTGCTGGTCCTCGTCATCATCAGCCAGCATGAGCTACAAGGGAAATATCACGAGGGGCGTCTGGGCAGGGCACTGCTTTGACATCACCACACTGTCGAGGCACGCCCAAGAGACCAGAGGCAAAGGCTGGAAAGACGTGAGCAAAGAGGTCATGGAGGAGGTTGCGGGAATCTGGGAGAGCGAGTACGGGTCCGATTGGCGCGAGCAAATTTGTAACCGCCGGCACCAGTCGTATAGGAATCAATAAGCAACGCCGCAGAGCGTCTTCTCATATACTGGTGTTATAAACTGCCAAATCGGGGTCTGCGTTCTACCGATAGGTCTCTGCACCACACGTCGAAGCATAACGGGAGACAAAATGGGTGAATCGCGGGAAATTCGTCTACAAAGACGATCCAGACGCGTGAAATCACAAGGTTGGGAAGCCACGTACGCGCGGAGGAGGTAGGGGCATACTTGAAACCCGTTGTCGACATTAATAAGCCAGATAGCAGAGAGCATTACATGGCGGCTTTTTAGTTGAACTTCTTACCAGGCACCAGCACTTTCAAGAATTATGCAACACGACAACCCCCCCTACGCAACCTAATTAGTCCCGCGTGCCTTGTACCTCGGTTTCTCTTCAAACTAGACGACGCTTCTCATCGCTCTCTAAACTCTCCTCAGCGGGCCTCTTCCGTCCCCCCTGAGCATCTTGCCGCACGCCCTCAAGCAAGACGAGCTTACCATACAGGGCATCGCCGAGAAGCTTCCGCATCCACTCTCCTTGAAGCGGCTCCATTTGCCGTTCCAGAGCCTGAATTTTCGACTCGTAGAGAGACACGTCCATCTGCAACATGGTCCGAACCTTGTGTATAACAAGAACCTGGCGGTTGCCGACGCCGGATTCGTCGAGCTCCGTCTCGAGGCGGACCAGCCCGTCCTTTTTGACGCGCTCTCGGACATGCCAAACCAGGCTGTACGACAGCGTAGAGCGAACTGTCGTGCGGTCCTCTGAGAGTAGAAACTCGTCCAGCTCCTTGCAGGCGCTGCAGGCCGCGTCGCCACATCCTTGCGCCGGAGAGGCCCAACCCTAAAATCATGTGCCGTTAGCTTCATTTGTTTACGTTGTAGGGTGCATTTTGCTGACCTTGAACCGTTCCGTGGGAGCGCTTGGCGCCGGGTCGAAAAAGAATCTTGTCAATACAGTTTCAAAGAAAGCTGCCAGCACTGATGAACTTTGCGGCGTCACGGACTGGTCATTCTTCTGCACAACTTTGACCAGATCACGGAGGAAGTTGGCGATGCCGTATTCCGCTTCGTGCGGAAGCTCGGCAGCCTGGAATCCCCTGCGGCTCTCCTCAAAAATCGGGCAAAGCGTGTCTGAAAGTCCTAAGCCGAGGCTCCGGTCCACCAGCGAGGTAAAGGCACTAGACGAGTAACAGCCCACACCAAACTCGGTGATGCGAACCGAGAAGACCTTGATGCTGTTTCCTAGTATATGCCGGTAAATAGCTTTGGCCTCGTCAGGTGTGAATTCACGCTCTCTCAGTTCAAATACTGTATCCAGGACCCGACGAAGCAACGCCTTGTTGCCGCGCGCGCATAGCTCTGAAAGTACCCTGTCATCCCAGTATTAGCACGAAACTTGGTTTCCCCTTGGGCATTGGCTCTTCGGTCCCATATATCAGGTCTAGGGTAGAAATAACGAGATTGCGTCTCCTTACCTTGTCGAGAGCCACTCGATATCGGCATGATGCGCTTGAATGAGTTTCATGATAAAGTCATGGTCGCCTAAATCTAGCTGCGGCTTTGTCTTGAGCTGGGTTTCCAACGTGGCCTCTTCCCAGCTCCGAAACGACGGTTTCAGGCGAGCGCTAAAATGGAATGCCACGCCATGTAGAATGGACTGCAAAGATGTGAGGCTCATATCCTTCTTCACAACAACTCCTAGCCTAAGACAAGGCGGTCAACACAAAATCTGGCGAGAAAATAGACTGCCAAAGCAGAGTAGCATACCATTTACTCCACTCTTCGTTTTCAAAGTCCCCAGGCTCGGCACGCCTGGAGAAGTCCTGCTCAATATGACGGGCAAGCGTTTTCTGAACATGGGCCAGATGGCAGCCAGCTTTCAGAGCTGCTTCGTACAGGGCGCTGCTGTTAACCGCCAAAGCACAGTCTAGTATCCGCGGCAGAGTCGACGCTGGTTTGTGCCTGGCGCTTTCACAGCAGGCCTTTATGAAACTCGTAGCGTAGGCCACAGATTGGTCGCCGTCCTGATGGTTCTCCAGATCATGCAGTACTTCGGATACCAGAGCATCTACAAGCAAGCCGTCGCGATCCAAACCAAGGAGGGAATCCAGCTTATTCTTGGCCCAGATGACGAGAACCTTGGAGGAATTAGACACATGGGTAGCGGAGCTGGATGAGGGATGGGATATCGAACCGAATCATGATACCTAAAGCGGGCCGGCGCGTGCTCGTTGCCGAGATACTCGGGCTCATCCTCGCTGTCGGCGGCCATATCATCACCATAGAAGGGCTGTGAGCAGAGGATCTCGTCCGTGTGGACAACAATCTCGTGGGCAATCAGTTTCCCTTGAGGGGTATACATATTGTCTAGCACGGTCCATTCCTCGGACTCGTCGAACTCGTCATAGCCCTCCTGGCATTCCTTGTTATGGGTCATGCTCGCCAGGAAAATGGAGAAGCCAATTTTGGAGGCGGCGAGCTGCAGAACCTGGCGCACGACGTCATCCCGCCCCTTGAGGTTTCCCAGCGACAGACTCGACTCACTGTACTGGTGGTCAAGTGGGTAGTACACTTGGCAGTTGAATTGGTCCGTCTCTCGCCAATCGATCAAGATGCGCTGCAGTTTCTCAACCTGGGTGTTGAAGAAGGCGGCCGATTTCGGGCCCTCGACGGTCGGGACGACAATGTTGTATGTTAGCACGAGGCGATAACCGGACCTCAGTTCCTTCACTTGGTGCGAGACGTCGCCGAACCAGGCCATAGCTGTCATGTCAAACTCGGACCCTGGGCCCGTTGCGTACGTGCGGTTCTCCTCTTTAAACGACAGATGGACCTCGCCACCATCGTGCTCCGAGGGCAAGCAAACGACGAGGGTGCCGACCATGCCAGGTTCCTTTTGCGAGTCTTTGTGCTGCTTGAAGAAGGACCCTGGCTCGTAGAGGAGGAGCTTGTGTGGCTTCGCCTGGGCTCCGACTAAGCCAAGTCGCTGGGCGGCCGGAGCAAGTATACCGCTTTCTAGGAACGCTTGCCAGTGCGGGTTGGCGAGTCGAAACTGCGTGTGATCCAGCTGCCACGTCTTGCGAACCGAGTCATCAACGACGGTTTGATGGCCGTTGCCGAAGGGCGCCAGTCGGCACGCTTGCTTGATCTCGTGCGCGACGCGAGGACATAGGGGCAGTGCAACTTTTCCATGGCCCGGAATGTCCAGAGCCGGATTGACAAAGATGTGATAGGAGTCGGTCCAAGAAAAGTCACCGGTGGTCTGAATGCTGCGAAGGCAGCGGAGGAGGTCACTCCGCCACGTCAGGGACTCGTCTGGGGAGTACTCTGAAGAGACACTATCGAAGTCATCCATGTTGCGTACCGTGGAAATGTAGAATGGTTACTATGTCAGCGCGGTTGAGTGTGATGGAGCGTGATGGGGTGGAATCAAGGGGTAAAAGAGCAGGCAGCAGGATCAAATTAGATAATCCCCTCTGAAATGGAAAATCACCAAGGCCCTGAGCTGCAGGAATTAAAAAGGCGGCTACGAACGGTGATAGTGACTGAGGTTGTGACTGATGTTGTGACTGATGCCTAGTGCAAATTGGGTGCCTCAGGTGTTAGTATCGCCTGGTCATGTAAGTCGTAAGTCACCCTTGGCCAAGATATCAGGTGATATCTGTCTATCCCTGCCCTACTCATTTTGAAATCCTTTGGACAATACAAATTGTAACCAAGGATAATAAAATGCCTCCTCATCCACCACGTCCATGACCAACAGGAGGGCAAGTTTCGCTAAGATCTACCCTGCACCTCAGTTGTGCGCCTTAGGGTTTCCCATCGCAAATTTTCTATCAAGACGCTATCAGGTCTCTAACCTCTAACACGGCTGATAGAAAATATAAATATTTTTAACCGGTAATAGCAGCCTGACAGCGTTGTGACAGGGGAAAATTACCTGTTCAAAAACAGGCCTCACTCGCGTATGTAGGCACCTACCTACCTACCTACCCTCCATCGTCGCGTTTGATCATCCGTAAAGCCACAGCCAGTCAACAAACAACCACCGCTCTCCCTTTCATTAATCACACCAGTCGTTCATTCTGGTTCGGCTGCACCAATACAGCCCTACCTCCATACTGTGAGAGATCAAAGACACAACGCAACAGACGACGCGCACACGTGCCACCTCAGCCAAAATAATACTTCAAGACATCTTCCCCCATGCCTCCATCTCGCAGTCCCAAGCCCGTGCCGACCGCTGAACAAGTTCAAGAATGCTCAGATGACCAGAGATGACCTTCGCAGCTTCCGAGTAACCGTAACAACCCATGGACTTTGACAGTGACGAGAAAAACCCCGAGCGTCCCCAGCTGCTGCAGCTCTTGGACCCGAGCGACTGTGCAGTCCTCCATTCTCGACAAGGCCAAACCTTGGGTCGAGGACGATGACTGCACGTCGTTTGACAACTTTTTGCCCGCGAGCCTCCTGAGCGCCAACTCGCCGAGCGGCCACTACAACACCGCGTACCACTTTGCCAGCATACTAGGCGTTCTGGGCCGACGAAAGTATGGACGGGGAATCGCATGAAACACTTCTTGGAAAAGAACTTTTTGGCAGGCACATAGGTACGTTACCCGACGCCAGCTGGGACACATGCGCATTTGCTAACAGAAGCCGTGCTTAGTGATGAGGCTGCCGTAAGATGGTTAGGCGTGCGCTGTACGAACGATTATCTGGGGTACAACAGTCCAATGTTCTGAGGTTTACACGTCCTCCCGATATATCTACGCCCTCTGAGCAGAGCGACTAAGATGATCGTCTTGACCTCGCTGCTGCGGAGGGAGAGCCACCAGTCAAAACTTGAAGTTCTCGGGACATTTGACGTTTGCGTAACGCAGGTGCAGTACTTCCACGAGGGCTTTTCGCAACAAGGACGGCTCTATTGACGAGCGCCCCTTGACGCTGCTCGCGTATAACTCTGGTGATGTTCTCCCGCTACCGAAACACGAATGCGACGGGCCACATGCCGCCTATACTGCCAAATGTATACTTTGCAGGTGTTGCTGTCTCGATATCATTTTCGTATCAAATCGTACCGCTGAAGCGAGACGAAAAGCCTCTAATACAGCACTTTCCGCGGTGTTGCTAAACGGGATTCTTTGCTGCTGCGTGCGTGCGAATGCTGGCTCTGATGTCCCGGCATCTGAGCCACCTACACATCGGCCCCCCCAGCGTCCCCCGTCTGCTTCCATCCTGCACGTCCTGGTCAACGTGCCGCTTCTCTACACCGTGGACAGAGACACCGAGCCTAGATTACCTCGACCCTAAAAGTAAATTTACCTACAAGGACCAGCTTTTCTTTTCAAGTTTAAAGGGTTAAAGTAATAAAATTGATCGTCTAGGTGCTCTTATATATCCTGCTTCAAGTAACATGAGAGAGCACCCTTGAATATAGAAAGCCCATCTCTTTTGCCTCTGACGATGACGAAAGTAAGTAAGGGTGGCATGACAGCTTACCCTGTAGGCAGTCAACGGTCTGAGATGTGTCGCATGCCTGAAAGCATGCTAGGTCGTCCGATGAATATGTCTTGCTTCGTAGTGTGACCCATCTCAAGGACCGTGGCAAGGTTTGCCTCTCCGGACTGCTGTGAAGCCTTTACCTCCTGTCGATGACAAGAACCAGTTCAGGCCCCATACACTCCTCCAGCTCCAACTAGGCCTTTTAGTCCTCCTTGACAAGCTCTGCTTCGCCCTCATCGACAAGCCCTGCCTTTTCCAAGTACTCCAAGACCGCGCTCTCCCAGTTCCGATTCTTCGCCTGCTGTTCCTCCAGCACGATCTTGGCGATGAGTCCCAGGAGCTTCTCGTCCATGACTTTGATGATGACACGGTAGGAGGAGCATGAGTATCCCTTTGTTGGAGCATAACTGAGAAGTTCGTGCTCGGACTTGCTCTCCTTTCCGAGGCGTAAATACCCCCAAGTGCAGGTGGTGTCACTCTCGAGAAGGTGTATAGGGCTGTTCCTGCTGTCGGTGGGGGTGTCCGAGTTGTCAAAGTAGAAAATCACCAGTCGCTCAGGATCTGCGCCCTTCATAGCCGCAAAAGTAAGGCCTTGACTCAAGCGTTCAATAAATCTTGCGAACAACGGCTTGGCAACAACCCAGGGCAAATCGAAGGTACGAGGTTTCATGTCGTCCCAGTCGAGGGGCTGAACATTCCCTCGCGCGCAGTAAACTTCGTAGCTCTTTCTGCTTGGGAAACGAAGCTCGGTGGGGGAATCTGAATTGGATGGTGACATGTTGGCGTTGGACTTTTCAGGTGTTGCTCCGTTGTTCTCGTTGTGGTGTTCTTGCTGTGGTGTTCTTGCTGTGGTGTTGCTGCTCTGTGAGATAGCTGTCCAAGTAGAGGATGGCGAGCCGTTTATATAGATCGCGGCCGTTCCGATGAGCCTGAATGGCGAGACCCAGCTAACAACGCATCTCGCGCTGTGGTGGCTCTGCATGATGGCCACGCTGGATGCCGTACTCGTCAACGAGAATGACAAAGGCCGGATAAGAGACATGGTCGCAAGTCGGGTAGATACACCACCCAGTCAGAGAAGAGAACGAAACGGTTGAGAAATGGGCCGCATCCGAGCCTAGAACTCAGAGAATGTGTTCGACACTGTGAGCCAAGTAACACATAGCGGCCGGAAATGCAAATGCCAACACAGGACAACACGGATAAGACCTGATCAGTGACACATATGCATATGCTCAACGCGAATTGTCGTGTTGATAATGCACGCAGCCACACACCACCTACCACCGTGACACCTCAGCAACTCAGATAGCAAGTTGGCGATGCTGATCTGCGAGGCCAAGCCGATGCATCTTCCAATCAAAGCCGGTTTTCAAGGACTCCTGTCCGACAAAAACTCACTCGCCAAGTCTTGCAGCAACCACCGTGTTGCACGATCACGGCTCAAGCCACCTATGCCGAAGCCCCCTTGGGGGCCGAGACCTGGTGTCTGCGGGTACTATATTGGGCCTCGTGTCACCATTTGGGTGCCTATATCATGTCTCGAATGCTGACAAGAAAACCGCCTTGTGTAATCTGATCGTCCTAGGCACCCGTCGGAGCTGCATTCGCGGGTCAGGGGTGGCGCAGGCATCCCTTTGATCCCGTGTTACACGCAGAGTAGTCAGTCAGCGGAACACGGATGAGGAAACAAAAAAAGGGTAAAGAGACAACCTGGCCAGATACCGACGCAAGGGCAGAGACGGCTACCTAACATCCAAGGGGGCCAAGCCTGCAACCACCCTGAGCGAACCCTGGCTCGGGTACGTCGACCCGACCGTCGTTGGAGCTGTCCGAAATAGGCTTGATAGGGAGAAGAACTATAGCAATATAGTAGTGGCCGACACCATACGTCTGATAGAAGGCGTAACCACACCCCTTAGCGCCGAACTCCTCGTCCAGCTTGAGAAATATCGTGCCCTGGCGAAAGAGGAGGCGGCGAAGACCGACGACAGCCAAGACTTGGAACGCGACGACCTGCACACTCAGGTCGCTGCCACGATATTGACGCAGAGAGCCATAACGGCGACTCGACCAGGCTTCAACGATGGGACCAAGGAACAACCGTACTTCGGGTTCGGAAGTGACACGTGGGACGCACTTGTCAGATATATTAATGACAAGACGCTCAACTTGGCGGCGATGCAGCTAGAACACGCACGCATCGCGACTTAGATCACCACGTTCAACGTGGGTCATCTGGAGTCCATCGCCCAGTACACAAGCGACGTTATGCAGTCCACGTCGGTTATGGAGTTCATCGAGAAGCACCCCGAACGAAAGGGTGCCATCGAGATGCAGATTGCCCAAGCCGCAGCATTCGACCTCATAACGAATCGCAACCAGCCGAAGGACAGGGCGGACCTGGAGCAGCGCGTCGCCGAGATCAACATTACACACTCCGACGATTTTCGACAGACTCGGGAGGGAAACAAACCACAACAACATGGTCGTCGCCGACACCATGCGACTGATGCAAGGCGTCACCACGCCCCTGAGCGCCGAAATCCTGCAGCAGCTCGAAGCCTATAAAAAAGGCAAAGAGAGAACGTTGGAGAAAAGAGAGACGACTCAGCCGCAAGGCAAAACCCGGTTGTTGTCCGCGCGCCGGAAGCCGCATTCGACCTTTCTGTTGCGGCGCAATTCAAGGAGCCCGACAAAGACGATTTCAAGCGCCTGAATGCACAGATTCAGTAGCAGATCGACAACGGCAACCGTGGCCTCCGATACCTGCCCATCCAGCTAGAAACAGCCAAGCTGTTCGTATTTATTGACAGTTCCTTTGCCAACAACAAAGATTTGAGTTCCCAGCTGGGTTATGTGATCGTTTCGGGCAACGAGGAACCCGTCAACCATGCTGAAATTGCCATCCAGGGTAATGTTATCACCTGGAGCTCCACGAAAAGCAAGCGTGTCACCTGGAGCGCGCTGGCATCGGAGCTGTACAGCATGGTTCTGGGTGCTGATGTGGGCTACGCCCTTTCCACCACCCTGAACAGGATCATGGAGTCGATGGGCCTGGCAGCAATTCCAATGGTGGTTTGCACGGATTCGTTCTCGCTATACGAATGCCTGACAAAGCTTGGAACCACCAAGGAAAAACGCCTAATGATCGACATCATGGCGCTGCGCCAGTCCTACGAGCGCCGTGAGCTCGCTGAAGTCCGCTGGATCAACGGTTGGGCAATGAGGAACCTGTCAACTCCGCCGAAATCGCCATCCAGGGCAACATCATTACCTGGAGCTCCACGAAGAGCAAGCGCGTCACCCGAAGCGCGCTGGCGTCAGAGCTTTACAGCATGGTTCTGGGTGCTGATGTGGGCTACGCCCTTTCCACCACCTTGAACAGGATCGCGAAATCGATGGACCTGCCAGCAATTCCGATGGTGGTTTGCACGGATTCGTTCTCACTGTACGAATGCCTGACGAAACTCGGCACCACCAAAGAAACGCCTGATGATCGTGCATGCTTGGATGCTTGTGCCATGTTTCGAGTGTCGTCGTACAATTGCATTAAGAGCGAGGAAAAGGCAGAAGAAAACAAGCTGAGCAGAGAAGAAAGGCAGCTGGCGAGACTTTCTTTGTTCTCTAGCCATGGTCGAGCATTACCCGACTGCTCAACTGTCATCTCATCACTCATCCACCCATCATGACAGACACGAGCAACGACAACCACGCATCCGAGGCCGTCTGCCACGATGGCGTTGAACTACCCGTCACCGATGCTCGAGCAAGTGGTGGGGCAAGTCAACTTCAAGTTTGAGCGCGACCAACAGCGCCCGATATGTCGAGTTTCACACCAGCCGTGTTGGTCCCAAAGCTGAACTTTCCAAACGAATTACTACGAACAAGCGCGCCGTCAACGTCAACGGCCGCGCCCGTCATCCTCAGAACTCTGCTCGGGGCTCCCGCCGTCGTCTCCGCGTTCAGTTGCGTTGCCACGCAAATCCCACACTCAGGTGCTGTCATGCCACCCTTACTTACTTTCATCATCATCAGAGGCAAAAGAGATGGGCTTTCTATATTCAAAGCGTTGCTCTTGATGTTGGTCATTATTTGCTTCGGTGCAAAACTTGACCATGAAGTCTCACGTGCGCCCACGGCCCGTACACCTCGTCAGAGCTTCCAGAAGCCGCGCACGGCGCCGACTTCCACTCCCGGCCCGCCTGTCCATCCTCCGCCGCAGCTCCCCGCGTGGGCTCTACAATCGACTATGCATCGTGTACGAGCGCCCGCAGATATGCCTATAGCCAGATGCTGTCTCCAGAAATCACCAGCCCAGTTGATGGCAAAACAACGTCCAGGTGCTGATCTTATGCCGCGAGTTCTACTTGTCTCGTAGTTCTGCCTCGCAGCCGAGATTCGAGGCGATAGCAATCCTCTCGGACGCATGACTCGAGAGAAGACCTGTAGACAGCGCCAACCCATTTCCACAGGCGATAATCCGCCACAAATCGAGCGTTTCTCTCATACGCAAGCGTCAATTTTCGAGCGACAGCTAGACGGGTAGGGCCAACGGCCTGAAAGTATTCGGTGTCACGCCGGCGCGTCAATTCTTGCGGGTCATCATCAGCGGCGAGGAGCTCCCGTAAATTGATGGCATCGGGTGTCAGGGCCTGCCTGGAGAGTATACTCGGTAGATCAAAGGGTTTACCATCGAAACAGAGTGCGCAAAGTGCTTCTAGATGGTGATAGTCCTGTAGACTATCCATATAAACAATTCGTAAAAATCGGGAGATCGCGGCGCCTGTATTCCAATCTCGCGGAAGCGGATTTGATTGGACACAGGTGTGTGCATCGTGAGAAAAGCTATCACGATCGGCGTTTGCGTCGTAAGAAAAGCCATCACGATAGGCGTCATGGAGTCGAGGATCGGTTACCACGTCTCGGGGATGTGGGAGACCAGGGGCCGTACAGAGCTGGGCAGGAGGAACAGTAAATGAAAATGCCCAGTCGATAATGCAGGTGATGTTGAACTCTTCGTCAATAAAGATATTCTGGTCACTAAGATCTGGGTGGCAGAGTGGGAACCCAGCTCCTTGCTCTTCTCTCTCCCCTGTTAGTAGAGGTATGATAGCATCACGTAGAAAGTGGCCAGTAATGCTGTATTGTAGGCGGTTCTCACTTGACTCCACCTTACCTCCAAGGATGGCGAAGTCGTTCCAAGAATCTGTTGCAAGAAGGTAGTCTGATATATTGGTATACTCTTGAGGAACTGGGATTGGAGCCATAAATAAGTGATGGCCCATTGAAAGCTGCTCCGCATGGAGTTGTAGAGCAGCCACAAGCGATGTGTAGAACTCCCGCGAGGAGGTGAAAGGACCGCGCGTAATTTCTTGAATACTATCGCGACCTTCAAAGAGATGTCCAGGAGAACAGCATTGCTGGATGCCGAAAGCTCCATCGGCGCCTTCAAAGAGCGACCCAATACTCGGGAATCGAAGTTGGTATAACTGCGACGAATAGTATCCCAACTGTTGCATGACCTTCATTCTGTCGTCATGATGCATCGTCTTTCTCGGCTGTGTTTGTAGTGTGTGCTGCGGGCTTGAGAGGCGCTGCGCTTGCCAGTCGTGTGCAGCGAGGGCGATCCCAGACGCTTTACTCATCAGAATATATGGCACCCCGACATCGTTTGATTTGTCTGTGCTGGGCACCTGTCAGCTTTGAATAAGTCCAGCCAGGCGTTCCTTGACATACCAGTAATGGAAAACCTCTGGGATTGGAATCGAGGTGTTCCCTCGAACGAATTTCATAGCCGCAACTTCACTGGCCAGAACATTACTCGCTAACGTGACATCACTTGACGCAAAGCGATTTTGGTGCGGTGATCGGAAAACCCATTCTACTCCATCCTGAAAGCGTAGAAATATGGCCCAGTTGAACGCTCCTGACGCGGGTCGCTGGGACTGGTCGCAGTTACATGGCTGGCCACGTATTCGCTCCGCTAAACGGAGGACAGCCGTGATCTCAAACTCAGAATAAGCATATATGTTTTCTCGTCGCTGCGAAGGCATCAACTTGATGAAAGATGGCAAGTATACAGTGTTATTGAGGGGTAAATTAGAAGCAGGTGTGGATCCCACTTTTTGGTGTTGTGTTGTGATATTTAGGTGCCTGATATTTATTAGGGCAAGATAGAGCACCAGCAAAAGTGGTGGGCATGATCGGGTATCTTGCCCTACATCAACCGAATAATCTTACTAATACAAGCATCGCATCTTTTCTCTGCTTCAAGTGTACCTACAGCGCGACGACTGCATCCTTCTAAGTTGCTACGCTCCCTCGTCACAATGGCTACTACTGGCATCACCACCGTCAAGCTACAGTCGCTCCCTCTCGTGGCTAGCGGAAAGGTACGCGAGCTGTACAGCGTTGATGACGCCTCGCTGCTCATGGCCGTGACCGACCGTATCTCGGCCTATGACGAGATCCTCTCCAATGGTGTTCCTAATAAAGGGCATATCCTTTGTCAGCTGTCCTCACACTAGTTTGACATCCTCCGCCAGCGAGTTACCGAGCTCAAGCACCATGTAATCAGCATGAGTCCTCCGGCGGAAATCGTCACTACCGTAGAGCGCGCCCTTCTTCGCGGCCGCTGCATGCACATCCGTTCCCTCAAGGTCTTTCCGATTGAGGCGATCCGTCCGTGGTTACATCACGGGCTCAGCCTGGAGCGAATACTCCAAGAGCGGAACTGTCCACGGAATCCAAGTTCCGAACGGACTTCAGCTCTGCCAGGAATCCCTATCGGCGAAAAGGACGAGAACATTTCGCCAGAACAGGCTCGGAAACTAGTCGGCGACAAGTAGTTACGCCAACCAGATCGAGGCCTAAAAAGGGCAAATAACGGCTGCGGGGACCTTATGAAACTAAACTAAAAATAAACCCTTGAATTCTATAAATAATTCCAAGTCCCATCTAACAGGTCTCGTGGGGCTTACACTAGTTAATCGTGGGGTTGGTAAAAGACCGCATCTACGCTTGATCAAGTTTAGATTGAGCCATTCAGCCCATGAACTGCTCAGTAAGCCTAGTCCCACCACGGACTTACACAACAAAATGATCATCTCGGCGCGCGGCTCCCGTATGCTGGGGACAAAAAAGTTGATTGTACAATCCGACCCAGCAAACGATCCAAGCCCAAGGCATCTCCATGATGACCTCAGGCACAGCGGACAGGACGGCGGAACAATGTTCAGCCGCTCAAATGTACACATGCGCATAGTTTGAACCAGGCTGTGACGCGCTCTGCTAGTTAGCTGATCCAGCAACTCGAAACAAAAATGATGAATCGAATAAAAGCAACCCTGGCGCATGCCCGCAGTCGCATTCACAAGCTCTCTGCGCCGCCATTGCCGCTCCCGTCGCCAAAGCCGGTCGTCAGCGCTCGACGATTCCCCGAAGAACCGGATTACTACGGACCTGGAGGGTTTCACCGCGTCTCGCTAGGCGACACTTTTGATTCTGCGCGATACACCATCCTACGAAAGATCGGATACGGACAGTACTCCACCGTGTGGCTTGCCCGAGACTTGAAGTAAGCTTCCTCCTCAAAAAAAAAAAAGAATGTATCCGGCGTGCTGATGGCGCGCGCGCAGATGCCAGCGATACGTGGCGGTCAAGCTGCTGAGGGCGGATTGCTACGGCACCCCTCATCATATTTTTGAGCGCGAGATCCTCGCGCGCATCTCCGACGTGTCCCGGACCAGCTCGCATCCGGGCTGTCGGCACCTGCTGCCTTGCCGGGAGCAGTTTAGCCATCGGGGTCCCAACGGAGACCACGTTGGCCTTGTGTTCGACGTGCTGGGCCACCATCTCAGCTTCCAAGCTGCCAAGTATAAAGACGGAAGGCTGCCGGTAAAGGCAGTCAAGGAGATTGCGCGGCAGCTTCTGAGGGGGCTGGACTTTCTTCACGGAGAATGCGGCGTCATTCACACAGGTACGGCGCCAATGCAGTGCGTAACCAAAACCTGGTTTGGTTCATTGCTGATTCTGACCACTAGATCTAAAGCCGACGAATATACTTTTGGAGTTGGAAACCCCAGACGAGACCATTTCGCAGTACCTCGAATCTGTTCCTCCGCGGACGACCAATGACCACAATGGCGCTGTAGTCCCACTCCGGGAGGTCATCACGACACCGCTCGTCTCCGAAGTGGCATTGCTGCACGTCAGGATTATCGACTTTGGCGTTTGTGCGTCAATCCATCAGCCTGTTCTCCGGCTGGAAAAAGCAAGACCCCGACTGACCTGCCCTTAGCTTCTTGGAGGGAAAAACATCTATCAGATCGAATCCAGTCACCCGCGCTGAGAGCACCTGAAGTAACCCTTGGCGCGCCCTGGGATACTGGAGTTGATATATGGAGCCTCGGATGCCTTGTAAGCATAGAAACCGGCCGTTCTGTGCTAAAATAACTGATGCCAACTTTTCTGCCTGATGCAAACCAGATTGTGGAGTTTGTTCAAGGCATAATTCTCTTTTCTGGAAATGCGTCAAAGAACGGGACATGGACCGCCGAGGATGACCAATTGGCAAGAATGGTCGAAATCCTCGGCCAGTTTCCGCCCGGCCTGCTTAGCCAGGGGCGTCGCTCGGCAGAGTTTTTTGATGCAAAAGGTATCATCCCCTGTATTCCATCGCACGGTCAGTTGCGCTATTCTTTGCTCACACGTCAAATCTATAGGGGCGCTTTTTCGAATTCCCAATATGAAGGCGACGAGCCTCGAGCGCTTGCTCAATGGCCAAGTGAAACTCTTTATAAGGCCTGCTGATATGCCCGAGACCGAAATTGGTACTTTCATCGACTTTATACAAGGCATGCTCGAAATCGACCCGACGGTGCGCAAATCTGCCGCAGAATTGCTGCAACACGGGTGGCTCTCTTAGTTCCTGCGCGGCTGCAGATATGGAAAGAGGATGACAGCATTTGAGACTGCTAAGCACAAGAAACTCGTACGGGTAGCTCTTACGTACGTCCTGTTACTGTGCGATACATTTTATGCTGACCACGGTATCGCAGACCTAGGGGGGCAATGTACAAGCTTCAATCAGACGAGCAAAACACCACTGAGCGCAGCGCTCATGGAGTAATCATATTGCACTGCATACCACGGTGCCATTGCCATTCAAACCATCATCTTTCAATGCCACAGTTTGCGGCGCCCAGATACTCTTATACTTGTAATGTCGTGCTACAAAATGAAACAAGAAACAAACTCCTCTCCAACACGTCAACAGGGAAGCCTGTCCTGCGAGCCAGCACTTCTACGCATCGTGAGATGCCTTTTCCTAGCGATTTAGCCCACGGCACATCATACACGCAGCCAACAGGTCGCACCCAAGGGCGCCTGCCCAACTCAACGAAGGAATAGTGCCTCCGATCCGTTTCGTACAGATCTCGTTCGATCAATGTGATCTAAGCCGAGGAAGTCGTCCTCGGATGTAACCATGCTCCAGAGCTCATCGTCTACCAAGTGTTAGCAACGATCATGATAGGGGAGCGGCATAAACACTTACCATCTTCAAGGTAGCGAGGTTTTGACGGGTTGCTTCTACGCACAACGGCAAATTTAATCTTTTCGAAGCTCTTGCCCTTGAGACCCGTTCTCTTTTCCAGACGCCTCTTGGTATCTGTAAACTTCTCTCCCTGCGTCGTGTTAGTCCCATCTGGCAATATTGCATGACCACTAATAAGCTACAAGACGTACCTCAACGAGAAGAAATTTGAACGGCACACCGTGAGTGCGGTTGGGTTCGTTCTGGAAGTGGAACACCTGAATAAAGTTGGCTTCGTTGGCGTCATGCTCCTCGGTGGGCACCCGTTCTGCGTAGATTTGCGTATAGTCGCTAAGATTTTGCACAGCATGCTCGCGGACAGGTTCCCGATAGAATTTGTTAGAACTCGTTTCGTAAACGCGTATCCGTCCTCCTTCGGCCTCGTCTGCAATCTTGGCTTTTTTGACCAGAGCCTGGATCAAATCCTCAACCGTTCCAGTTTTTGGCACCAAGAGATCGTATTGCTCTTCCTTGGTGAGACCTTCACTGAGCCAAGTAACCTTGATACTCTTCTTGGTATCCAATTCTGCTAGACTCATCTCGAGCACTTCAAAGTAAAATGCGTCATTCCTTTGACTTGAGTTCAGGCTGCCTCCGGTCGGGTTGAGAATTTGTCGTAGGGTTGGGTTAGTACCTCGCCTCACCGGCGCCTTGGGGTTGTTTGTAGACGCGCTGACAGTCCATAGACGAATGTGTGTTGGTTCCACGTTGAGGTAGGTTCCCACGCTCTCGGACAATGTGTCGTAGTTGATCTTGGAGTTGAGAACAAGCTCAAACGCGGGATACTTTTCCTGGTCGCATCGAGCAGGATGAGCGTGAAATCTCACAGTCCTCTTGTGCTCCAAAAAGTCATAGTACTCTCTAGCATCCTCCATACGATCGCTTGGTGAAGCCTGTTCTTTGCTGGGCGCATCCGACATGCGGGCCTGAAACTTGTGTTCTGATGTCTTTTGGAAACATATAATGTCACCATCCTGCAGCTCAGCCATCTTCAGAGTAAACTTAGGTTTAAGAGGCTCAATCATGTTGGGCTTGATTTCTTCCCATAGCAAAAGGCGTTCATCATCAGCCAACTTGGGCTCCCAGCCCATGGCGGCGTGGATCAGCGGCACCATGTCTTCGATTCTCTTATCCTTGGGCATGTAGACGTGACCCACGCCGTGGAGCGCCTGCTTATCCACGTCAAAGTGCTTGAGCAAAAGGAGAATTGTATCCTCCTTAGCACCATTGGAAGCAGGAGCTTGATATGAGGGCCAGATGGCAAATCCGTCGTTGTCAACCTCGGTTGCGACCTCGGCCCAAAGTCGAAGACTCGAGTCTCTGTGTGCGGCGGAGCGGGCATAAGTCTCCTCCACAGTCAGACGCAAATCCATAACAGGCTGATCAGGGCGTATCGTTTTATTTTGTCGGTTCACCATAAGCCAAAGACGGACCTTTCGGGGGTCTTGATCTATGTCCACGGCTACCTGTTGCACGAAGTCTTCCATGAGAGTTGCCTTCTTGACACGATACGACCTAGGAGCTGATTCATCCTCGGGGTTGCTGTTGTCAAAGCGACCCATGTCTGTACCGCCAAAGTTGCGAAAGGTCTGGCTGGTGATGACCTTGGCCATCATGTAGAGGTGGGCTTCACGTTGTTCCTTGCGACGGGTTTCCTTGAGCGCATTCTCTTCTTCAAAACGCTGCTGGAGGTGGGCGGGGATATCATTCTGGGTAACGTCACGGAGGATCTTGTCAACGCGGGTTTGACGGATGTAAACCAGCATATAAGCGCTGTTCTGGCGAACAGTTGGTGCTTTTTTCTGCAGAGGAGCTCTGGTATAGCCTTCAGGGACACGCTCCTCGCCGCCATAGTTTTCTTCCAAAACCTCGCGCAGAGTAGCCTTGGTGACCTTGTCATCGTCATACTTGTAGAACCAGCCGTCCTTCTTGGGTTTGATGAAGGCGTAGTAGTGGCCAGCATTAAGGTCACCGCTGTGAACAAGTACGCCGTGCAGCTGATATACCCAAGACTCGGATCTGTCAGCATCATCATTCAAGTAAGGCGCAGCGTCAAAAACGTCGGGGAATTCGTAGCGATCGTTGATTTTCATCATCATATCCCGTTGAATGTCGTACTCAAATCGCTTGAGTTGAAGGTGGAGGACATCGGGGAAGCTGTTAAAAATGACGCCCTTGTTTGCGTCCTGTAGCTTGTGCTCGTCGCCGGCAAAATACTGATTCTCGCCGTCCATCTTTTCGACCTCGATGTAGTCCCGGAAGCTGTCGAGGAGTCTCTGGTTACCGCTGACGTTGAGCTGAATATCCCAAAAATCTTCGACACGACTTGATTCATAGTCGACATTGATACAAGAAATGTACGTCTTGATCTTGCCGCTGAACATTTCGGGGAGAACATTTTCGGACGTGGTGCCCTTCATTCTTTCCTCGAGTCTCTCCATGAGCTTGCGCGAGAGTTCTTGAACATCTTGTTGCTCGAATATGTGCCTTGTTTCCCAACCGAAAGATTTGGTTAGCTCATTTGTGCCCACAGCCTGGTCTGAAGTCTGCAATTGGTAAAATAAACGCTGTAGGGTGTATGCAGAGTTTGTGAGGCTGTCATCATTTTCTGTGGGGATTTCGTAAACGGCCTACTAATGTCAGCGCAAGTTGTTGCAGGCAGAAGACTATGCTTACCTGGCGGAAGGCGTTGGTAAAATATAACGACTGGAGAAGGGAGTTGAGGTAGCACGTGGCGCCTTGGTTCTTGAGACCGACATAGCCGGTTTCCTTTTTGGAGTCGTAGTTGACAAAGTTGTGCCAAAGAACGCCGGTTTCGTCTTCGACGATGCGGACATAGGCAGTGATGTTGGCCGTCTCATTCTCAAGAAGAGGTCTAGAGCTATTCTCCCAGGGTATGTTGAACATTCTCCTGCTCTCTACGAAACGTGTGAAGCCCCAATCGCCCTCTTCCTTGGTGAAGCGATGATGCGCGGCATGGTTGGTGTATAGGCTAGGGTCGTCGGGGTTCCAGAGAACCAGAGCAAACTGAACACAGCAGCTCCAGTTGTCCGGTATGGCGTCGGCTTCGAAACCGTGCTCGAGGTAGATGGAGCAGTGATCGGTGTTATTTCCGTGGGGAAAGAGTAGAATGCGCCTAGAGCAGCTGTTAGCATGATGTGGCGAGAGACGGGGCAAGGTCGTGGAGGGCGACGCACCAAGGGTTTCCGCCAGCTTGGAAGACAGGACCATGTTCCTTCTTGCCAAGACTACGCCAGTTTTCAACGGTCCATGTGTTTACACTGTCCTCGAGGATCTTGGGCTGGTCGGCCAGAGGGGGAAGAACAATCTCCTTCATGGCGTCATCTGCGACGAGGTGGAAAGAAGATATCAGCATGGGGGCCTTTGGAGGTGATGAAGAAGAGCAGTTGACGGCATGAGTACATACAGTCGTTGGCCAGAGGGAGATCTTGGAGGGCTTCAGTGTCTTGATCGGCATTGTCGGGGTTTATGATGGCGATGGAATCGTGGTCGGCGAGGCTGGAGACGTCGACGTACTCGTGATCGACATCCATCTCGCTGGGAGAGGGAATGTTATAGCTCTGGGTGGAGATGGTGATGTTAGTAACGCGCAGGCGCGGCGATGGCGAGGATTCGGAGTCCGAGCTGTCCATTGGGGCGATGAAGAAAAGGATATGAAGAAAAGTGGTATCAAGAGGTGCAAAATCTGGGTATTGGATGCTGAAGCTTGGGCGGGCGGGGCTAGAGATGTGGTGTGCATAGGCTGCGCGGAGAAACTGCTGCTGCGAGGGAAACGACGAAGCAATGCGACTGGGCGACGGTCAAGGTTGAGAATCAGGACCGGGTGAAGTGATGCAGACTGGGGGGAGCAGGAAGCGTCGCCGTGGCAGCTGGAGCAGAAAAATTATCGTGAGGCAGCAAGCGCAGGGACGGGGGCAAGACGGCAGGCGACGGGGGCATCGAGGGCGAGGAGCGACTGACCATGGTTGCCAATTACGGACTCGGGCCGTGGACGCCGTAAAAAGACGAAGAAGAGAAGCCCGTGGGGAGGGACAGGGGCTCCGAGGTGAGATGGAGGAGCGGCGGGAATGAAGTCGGTGGATGGGTGGTGGTGGGAGGCGTCACGTCACGGCTGCGGCGGGGTGCAGCTGGCAGAGGTAGGGCAGGCAGGTCGGTTATGCGTAGTAGGAAGCCGTAAATAGCAGCGGCACCAAGGAGCTTGTCCAACGCTAGATGGGGGTAGGTTCCTAGTGATGTGGTGCTAGTTGAGGAATCCGGTGAGGAAAATGACGGACGGCCATGCGGTTACATGCATCAGGAGTAAGTCTATGATGATGCAAATACTAAAGAGACGCGGCGTTGTGAGCTGTCTGTGGTCTGCGTGGTCTGCGTACCTACAGGTACTTGACCAGCCCTGGCGAGCCCTGGCATGCCTGAGACTGCTGGTACCTTGTTCATGCAACGCCGACGCGGTGCATCCAGGTACCTCTGTCCAGCACCAGTCTACGTAGAGTGGGCAGGTACCTCGGGGGGGTTGTGCACAAGTCAACCCTCGAATGAGTTCTGAGTTTAACCACCATTTGGTCTTGTTTAGCTGGGACTGGGTTGCCTGCGCCCGCTTCGCCACTGGCCACGTACTCACTAACTTTCAGTGTTCCTTGGTTAACCTTTTGCCCCGCCGAGTGACGGATGGTTGCAAAGCACTAAGCAGGCATCCCACCAGGCTGTCGCCCGTATCAAGATTTTCTTTCTCTAGTCTCATTTTTATGTCCTTTAAATTATAATTTATTACACCTTGATATACTCTCAAGTAACCAGCCAACCGAGGTCTTCTCCTACTCCCCAGAACCGTTGCATTGTTCCAGGCCAGGCCGGGCAGCCTGTACATTTTGCCTGCATCGCGTCAGGACTATGCACATGCTTACAACCCCCCAATCGACGTGTCAAACTGCCAACCCCAGGTAGCACAAGGTGTATCCTGTATTCAAGTACCAGGTAGCTTCTCGCCATAGCGAGACAAGCTCACTGGATGGCTTCCGCTTTGCCCATGTCACCGCGCACCACCGCTCACGCCACCGCCAACATGTGAAAGGCCGGCAACAAACGTGGCTGGCGATCGTCTCTCCCGCTTCCCCCCTTTGGAGCGAGTGGTTCATCGTGACAGCCGGTGTCGAAACACTACGAAGAAGCTGTCGGGCCACTTTGTGAAGGGGCAAAATTCGTAGAATGTATAAAATTAAAAAGTCCCCATTCTCCGCCGCGAATACGTCTGGGTCGTGAGCAGCGCCTCATTTCTAGCCTTCTAGATGGCTGTCTGAATCCGTAGTACTACCCCCGACACCGCCAACCTCAGTCGCTACCGTAGAACCAAGCATTGGGCAGCAAAATGACCTGCAGCAAGACCAGATGGCCGCATTAGTAGCTCGAAATGGCCAGACCAGAACACTAAATTAGAGACAGCACTGCGCAGCTTGCCCTGTAACGCGGGGAACGATGGGTTGCCGAATGAGGGGAAGCTCCTGGTAGGCAGCTACTAGAGGTAGGCACGCAGCCCCCGTACGACTATTTCTTTGCCTCGTTTCTCCCAATGCTGCGGCCTTTTATGTCTTGGTTCATTTCCTTTACCCTTTCACGCCCCTTCAGAAAAGCATCCTCACTGTCCATGCCCTCGTGAGTCTTGCGCGGTCCCTCGTCTCCAACTTTGCCCGCCTTGGCCTGGATCGAGGAGCCGATACCGCTTCGCTGTGGGGTAAAAATCCTGACAAGAAAGAGCCCCCAAAAATCAAAGCTGTCACTGTCCATCGTGCCAGCCCAGTCACAAGCTTCGCGCGCGCCGGACTACTTCCACACATGCGACACTTTCCTCACACCCCCAAAGTTCCTCATTTTTCTCCTCTGTGATTCCATCGACCATTCATTGAACCGTTTTCGCCCTCAACGCTGCATCGTTCCAACTCGATTCGTCCCGCCGCCAGCCAGCTTCCTCCGCCCACTAGCTCGCCCGCCTGCCCATCCATCCATCGCACACACGACCAGCGACTACCCCTACCCAGGGACCCCTTCGACCGAGACACAGGAACAGACGCAACCTCTGCATGGCCCGGGAGCTATGCTGTCGAGCTCGATGCGCCAGACACGGCCGCGGAAGCGGCTCCTCGACCCCCTCGCCCTCGCCCTCGCTTCCCGACTCGGCGCCGCCTCGTCGCATCGGTGTCCGATGGCCGGCCGCGGAGCTGCCACGGCCGCTGGAGCGTGGCGCCCCGTCTCTATCCTTGACGAGTATGTCTTGCGCTCACTCCTACGATATCTAAGAAGAGGAAAAAATGCGATGTTGCAGTGAAAAGATACAATGCAATTGATCACGCTGACACTCTGGCAGCTGGGTTGCTCGCGAGGCCCGCCCCATAAGCTTGCGCCAGCTCATGGTCTTTGGCCGCTCCCTCACAGAATCCCGCCTCATCAGCTCCGCCAACTATGTACGAACAGAATTACCCTCTAGGTATATTGCTCTGACAAATAGTTTGAAGAAATGGGCAAGAATCGAGAACTAACATAGCGCAGAATCGCCCATCGCCTCCGCGACATGCAGCAGCTCCCATACGTCGTCGTCACGAACCCCCACATCAACGACGTCTACAATCTCTACTACAATGCCTTTGACACCTTTCGCAAGATCAAGGAAGTTAAGACCCTCGAGGACAATGACCGCCTCTGCAAGATTATCAGCGAGATGCTCAAGGGCCACCTCACTGTCATCCCCAAGCTCGCTATGGGCATCCTTGAGTGCGGCGGCCTGATGAACCCGAAAGATCTCGACAAGTTTATGAATACCATTTTGCGATCCGTACGTCCCTGTTCTTCTTCATTCTTGATCCTACTTTGCACCGTCTTCCCCCTCCTTTTCTGCTTCCTCGGACTTCAGCAAACACGCTAACATCCCTCCCACCAGCGCATCTCCCGTCGTGTCATTGCTGAGCAGCACCTCTCCCTCACCGAGACCTACCACTCGCCGCACTTCTCCCCCGGCGCTAAGCTCTCCGAGAGCGACTTCATCGGCGAGGTCTTTATCAAATGCCAGGCGCGCGACGTTATTGACCGCTGCGCTCGCGCCATCACCACCCTCGCCCGCTCCACCAATGGGCCTGACGCCCAGGTCCCCGCCATCCGTATCGACGGCCACCTCGGCGCCTCCTTTCCCTACATCCTCAGCCACCTCGAGTATATTATTGGCGAACTCCTCCGAAACTCGGTCCAGGCCGTCATTGACCGGCAGGCCAAGCTCCAGGAAAAGGCGGCCGCGGCCGGAAACCCCGCCACTGTGGAACCCCCGCCGCCCATCGAAGTCACCATCTGCGAGGCCCAGGAGCACGTCATCATCCGCATCTCAGACCGCGGCGGCGGCATCCCCCGCGAGGAGCTCCCGTACCTCTGGTCCTTTTCCAAGGGCCCGCAGTCGGCCAACCGCCTCGAGAACCTCGGCCAGGTCCCGCGCATGGCCGCCACCATGCAGGAGCTGCACATTGACGAGCTCGGCCGCGCCGACCTCAAGGCGCCCTCCTACCCAACACCACCTCCGCCGCCATCACCGCAAGACCAGCCTCTCACAACAGCCACGCCACACACCCCATCACTGCAAAACTCCCTCTCCAGCCTCACCAGCCGCCCGCCGAACCTGCGCCTCGGCATGGGCCTTCCCCTCAGTCGCGTTTACGCCGAGTACTGGGCCGGAAGCCTTCATGTCCACAGCCTCGAGGGCTATGGCGTCGACGCCTTTTTGCAAATCTCGCGGCTCGGCAACAAGAATGAGCAGCTCACCACGCGCGCCAGCATGGATGCGGTATGAGAAACAGCGCCTATGCCGCCACCCCATCTGTATATATGTGCTACGTGGGCGACCCGGCGGCTCCGGCCTGTTGTCTTTGTCGAACATACTCTTTGGAAATTGGGTTCCTGTTTTGTCGGCAGAGATCTCGTGGCAGGGACTTTGCCGGAAGATGGGCTTTGGTGGCAAATGGGATTGAGCCCCAAAAGCGACATTCGAATTAGTTGCGAGGTTCGCATCACCAGCATCTTCATCCTGTTTTGCTTTTCTTAATTTCTCTTGGAATTTTCTCATCTTCATTCTCTTGTTGGTCGAGGCAAGGAGTTCTTCGGTCGTGTTCCTCGTACATCGAGGTATTTGGGCAGTCTTTGTTACATTTAGTATAGCATTCTGGGGCCAAGGCCACCACATCTTACCGGGCAGACATCATCACCCGTCTTCTCTTGACTACAAACAAAAGCAAATCGAATATACGAGTCTTCAGTTAATAAAGGGAATAAAATAAGGCTACATTATCAAAACTTCCACAACAAATCTTGCTCGTAAGGGACATATTAACTTTTTGGCCCTCCATGACCACTTTCACAAGGAGGCCCAACAGCGAGCAAGCAAACGCTGTTCCTCCACAATCAAAAGGCGCCATTTACGGGGCAGACCACCATGTCAAGGAGTTCGGGACCGCTGCCGATAACATCCATGCCATCTTCCTCTGTCGGCACTGTTCGGCATCTTTACCCACAACTTCAAGCATGGTTCTGGATGCGAAACGCAAGCTCCTGACCGTGCAGGCGCAGCTCTGTAAGTAAGACTTGAAGCATCCGCGAACGCTTAGCGGCGACCGTGGCTGCGGACAGCACTGCCCTGCATAGACTCGAGTTCCGACTCGAGCTGCTTGATCTGAGCATGGGTCTGCTCGAGATCCTTGTTGAGACGATCGCGCTCTGAAATGAGCTTCTGCTCCCATTGGCGGAAGCGCTGCTCCTCGATCTTAACCTGTTCGGTGAAGCGCTTGCGAAGTGCCTCCTCTTCTTCCTTAAACTTGGGGTTGTCGAGCTTGCGTGGGCGAGCTTCGCCGAATTTACGCGTCTCCATCTGCTGAGCGCGGTATGCCTCGTAGTGAAGCTCCTCGGTAGTGTGGATGAGATCCAGCATGTGGGTGCGGATAAGAATGGACCGGAGCTTCTTAAAGTCGCAGTGGTCTTCATTTTCAACCTCAGCGACGCCCCAGGAGTACTGGCGACCCTTGACGATGCGTCCGTCGGTGGTCTTGACATCCTTCTCAGAACCAATCACAGCAAAAGGCATGGCGTCCATGAGAGCACGTGCGTGCTTAGCGGCGGCATCGTCGTCCTCCTCAACTGGGGGCTGATAAATCTTAATATTCTGCGCCTCGATGACGGCAGCAATCTAGACAGGTTAGAAGTGGCAAAGTAATTGAGCTGGACATCAAACGTACGCGCTGCTTGAACTTGGCCAAGTCGGCAGGGCTGAGAGTATCGGCCTTGGCAATGACAGGAATCAAGTTCACGCGGGAGCAGAGCCTCTTCATAACCTCGATATCAAGAGGCTTCAGGGTGTGGCCGGTAGGGCGAATGAAGTACAGACAGGCGTGGACACGAAGATCGATCTTGTCCTGACGGCGGGGCTGTTGCTCCTGAAGCATGTAGGACTCGTGCTGGTCGTCGAGGAACTCGATGATGGGCATCCAGGAATCACGGTTGTTAACGTAGTCTCCGAAGCCGGGGGTGTCGATAACGGTCAGGCGGACTAGAAGGCAAACCATTAGCATACAGAGGTCGTCCGTCAGGCTGCGGTAAGCACGTACCCTTGAAGAACTTCTCCTCAAGCTCGGCCTTGGTGATTTCGATCTCGACAGTCTTGTCCACCTGCTTCTGGTGACGACGCTTGTGGTCGGCATAGTTCTTGATGGTGGTCGAGAACAGCGTGTTGATGAAAGTCGTCTTTCCGAGGCCGGACTCTCCAGCAACCTAACGATGGATAGCGTTGTTAGCGAGACCTGGTCAAATGGTGGCATGTAGCCTCGTCCGCAGAGAGAGGCACAGGAGCGGGAAAAAGGTCGGCATACCATAATGGTGAAGCCGGCGCCTCGCTTGGCGACAATCTTGTGACGCTGATTAGGCAGATTGGCAATGCCAATTGGCGATGCACTCTCGGCGCTGGCAGGAGCCATCTTGAATATGATGAGGTGAGGGGTAGTGAATAACAAGTGTCGACGCGGTGACCAAACAATAGCCTAACAAGCAGCAGAGCACGAACCAAGATATCCGTCTAGCAAATGCTGAGATCGATTGATCAAGAAGTGCGTTTGGGAGAATGGGCCAAAGGTGGAGGAGGTCGGAGCTTGGATGGGCGTTCAGGGGCACCAAGGGGTCGTGGCCACCAATTTTGCTGGTGTCTGGGGGGATGCTGGCAGCGGGTCAGTGCATCGCACACTGGGCAAGACCAGCCTTGCCCCCCCTTTCCCAGGTTCAGCCAGGTAGTTACCAGCCGTTGCCTGTATGGCGGCAAAGCGGTCAGTGCACCCCACCGCCAATTTGTTTGGGTTGCTGTGGCTGGTAACTTCTATCCGTTGTGGCTGACGACTTTCTCCCCTGGAACAACTAATAGCCGGCATCCCCAAAAAAATTGGCGGCGTATCGATAAGCATCGCAAGCTTGTAAAGTTTTGGACGGCCAGGCCAGGTGCAACTTTGCGAATAATGGACGATAAACGACAATGAAGACCGATTTCAGGGTACGCTGCCGTATTACGCATTGTAAAGTATTACAGAACGATTTACTGACTTTTGCAGTTTTCGAACTTACTGGGCACGGTGTACTGCCAGGGCAATTTGCTCTACAGTCCCGACGGCACCCACCTCTTTTCGCCCGTTGGCAACAGAGTGACAGTCTTTAACCTCGTCGAGTACGTGCACACACAGGAATTTGGATGAATTATGTGATCTAATAAATACTAGAAACAAATCATATACCCTTCCCTTTGCGCACCGGCAAAACATTGCCCGCATCGGCCTCACACCACGCGGAAACCTCCTCCTCACTGTCGACGACGATGGCCACGCCATTCTGACAAACGTCCCCCGAAGAATATCGATATACCACTTCTCCTTCAAGTCCAAAATCACCGCGCTCTCCTTTTCGCCTTGTGGTCGCTACTTTGCGGCCGGCCTGGGCCGCAAACTCGAAGTATGGCACGTGCCGTCGACGCCGGACACCAACGCCGGTGGCGAGCTGGAGTTCGCGCCGTTTGTCAAGCACCACACGCACACTGCACACTTTGGCGACGTGCAGCATATTGAGTGGTCCAGCGATTCGCGCTTCTTCCTCACAGCATCCAAGGACCTGACGGCGAGGATATGGAGCCTCGGCGCGGAGGAGGGCTTTACGCCGACGGTGCTCTCGGGGCACAAGCAGCCGGTCATTGGCGCGTGGTTTTCAGCGAACCAGGAAATCATCTACACAGTCAGCCAAGACGGCGCGGTGTTTGATTGGCGGTATGTCAAGCCGATTGACCGCCTCAAAGAGGATGACGAAATGGACGACGACGACGACGAGTCTGATATGCATTGGCGCATTGTCCAGAAACACTTTTTCATGCAGGGCAGCGCGCACGTCCGTTGCGCGTCATTTCACCCTGAGTCAAACCTTCTCGTCGCGGGCTTTTCAAACGGTCTTTTTGGCCTGTACGAGATGCCCGACTTTAACAATATCCACAAGCTGAGCATCTCGCAAAACGACATTGACTTTGTCACCATCAACAAGACTGGCGAGTGGCTGGCCTTTGGCGCCTCCAAACTCGGCCAGCTGCTTGTCTGGGAGTGGCAGTCCGAATCATACATCCTCAAGCAGCAAGGCCACTTTGACTCCATGAACTCGCTCGTCTACTCGCCCGACGGCACCAAAATCGTCACCACCGCTGACGACGGCAAGATCAAAGTCTGGGACATTGAATCCGGGTTCTGTATCGTCACCTTTACTGAGCACACCTCTGGCGTCACGGCCTGCGAGTTTGCCAAAAAGGGCAACGTCCTCTTCACGTCCAGTCTGGACGGCTCCATCCGCGCCTGGGATCTCATCCGCTACCGCAACTTCCGCACCTTTACCGCGCCGACGCGCCTCTCCTTTTCCTGCATGGCCGTCGACCCCAGCGGCGAGGTCGTCGCCGCCGGCTCCCTCGACTCCTACGACATCTACATCTGGTCCGTGCAGACGGGCCAGCTGCTCGACCAGCTCGCAGGCCACGAGGGCCCCGTGTCCGCGCTCGCGTTTGCGCCCAACGGCGACTCGCTCATCTCGGGCAGCTGGGACCGCACCGCACGCATCTGGTCCATCTTTAGCCGCACGCAGACGAGCGAGCCGCTGCAGCTGCAGGCCGACGTCCTCGACATGGCGGTCCGCCCGGACTCGCTGCAGCTAGCCATCTCGACGCTCGACGGCCAGCTGACGTTTTGGACCATGGACGCCGAGCAGGTTGCCGGCGTCGACGGACGCCGCGACGTCTCGGGCGGCCGCAAGATGACCGACCGCCGCACGGCCGCCAACGTCGCCGGCACCAAGGCGTACAACTCGATCCAGTACAGCACTGACGGCAGCTGCATCCTCGCCGGCGGCAACTCAAAGTACATTTGCCTCTACTCCGTCACCACCATGGTGCTGCTGAAAAAGTTCACCGTCAGCGTCAACCTCTCGCTCTCGGGCACGCAAGAGTTCCTCAACAGCAAGCTCCTCAACGAGGCCGGCACGGCGGCCGACATTGACGATGACGACATCTCGGACCGCGAGGCCTCCCGCGCCGCCGATGGCCTGCCCGGCTCCAAGCGCGGCGCCGACCCCTCAGCCCGGAAGCGCTTCCCCGAGGTGCGCGTCAGCGGCATCGCCTTTTCGCCCGCCGGCACCGCCTTTTGCGCCGCCTCCACCGAGGGCCTGCTCATCTACAGTCTCGACACGACGGTGCAGTTTGACCCGTTTGACCTCAACATGGAGATTACGCCGGCCTCGACCCTCGCGGTGCTCGAAGGGGAGCGCGACTACCTCAAGGCGCTGGTCATGGCGTTTCGCCTCAACGAGGCCGCCCTCGTCAAGCGCGTCTTCCAGGCGATCCCCCACGGCGACATTGGCCTCGCGGTCGCGGGCCTGCCCGTGGTCTACGTCCCGCGCCTGCTGCGCTTCGTGGCTGCGCAGACGGAGGAGTCGCCGCACATGGAGTTTTGCCTGCTCTGGATCAAGGCGCTCGTCGACAAGCACGGCGCGTGGCTCACGGCGAACCGCGGCAAGGTCGACGTCGAGCTGCGCGTGGTGAACCGCGCCGTGAACCGCATGCGGGATGACATTAAGCGGCTGGCGGACGAAAACGTCTACATGGTTGATTACTTACTGGGGCAGGCTGGTACCCAGGGTGCGGGCAAGAAGGCGCTGACGGCTGGTGATGACAAGAAGGATGTTGTGAGCATTGATGTAGACATGAATGGCGACAATGAGGAAGCACCTAGTGATGACGACGATGAATGGATTGGGCTGGAGTAGGAGGCAAGATTTGTTGGCATATTTTATTATCATGTTAAAAATTGGTTTTGATTTTCACAGTCATGGTCGTATTCATAGAGCAATCTTGGGGCGTTGTCGATACAATACAAAAAGTTGACTACTAAGGCCTAGGCCGTCATATCGTGCGTGTGCTCTAGTTCCAGTCGCGCTTCTGAGGAAGAGACATGGCCATTCAAGCCGAATACAAGAGCGCGCCGCGCTGCATGTGTAGCGCCTTACTCCTTGGCCAAGTGATCCCACGCAGCATCAAACCCGGCGGAGCGAACCCAGCGATGCTCGACATCCTGGCCCTCGACGCTATCCAGCAGCGCATAGTGCGCCCTGAGCCAGGTCTCGTCGTCGGCGATGCGCACCCACCCGGGCCTCGCGCGGCCCTCTTCCAGGTACGGCCGGGTGGCGCGCTGCGCGAGCAGAAACGCGCGCGCCACCTTGACGGCGTGCCCGTCGTCGCGCACCGCGTGCAGCCGGGGCAGCAGCTCCTCGGGCGTGGCCACCATGGCGTTTGCCCTGCCGGTGCGGATGTCCAGCGGCACGTAGCGGCGCAGCGCGTCCAGGTCGAGCCGCGGGCTGCCGCGCGACAAGTAGGTCAAGATGCCGGTGCGCATCTTCCACTCGAGCAGGCGGGCCCTTGCGGCGGCGGGGATCCAGTGCTGCGTTTTGAGGTGCAGGAGCGCGGGGCCGAGGTTGTTGTAGTGGCTGCGGCGGCGGGGTTTTCACGTTAGTTCCCGTAGTTAGGAACAGAGAGACGGGAAACACGTACATGATGAAAAAGTCAAACTTGGGCTTGTGCGGGGGGTGGAAGATGCACGCGGCGGTCAGGTACGCCGCCGCGTGCACCACGGCGTCGACCTGCTCGTCGAAACGGTCCGGGTGGACGGCGACGTTGGCGGCGAGGTACGCGGCGATTTGGTCCGGGATGCGCTGCAGCACGCCCGCGTGGCTGTTGTCGCCGTCCTCCCAGCGGGACGCGGCGACGAGGTGCGGGTGCTCGGTGCGCATGCTGTCGTACAGGTCGGCGAGGTGCCGCGGGGTCGCCGGGAGCGCGGCCTGCCGCGCCTTGTCGTCGACGAGAGCAAAGAGCGCGCCGTAGGTGTCCTTGTGCACGCTCGTCTGCGCCAGGCCCAGGGCGACGAGCGCCGGCTGCGCCCACTCCAGGCCGTACATGAGCTGGAGGTAGGGATGCAGAAGACCTAGCAGGTGTTAACAGAGCGGTTTACAAAAGGAAGAAAGAAGAAAGGACCCGGGATAGAGAAGGGGGGGCTTGCTGTCAAAGAGCCGACGAAAGTTTCCTTCTTTTCCAAGCAGATACTTGAGGACGGCTTCCCGCCAGCCGAGCTTTTCGATTTCGCCCTGGTAGAAGCGCAGAAAGTCGCCATAGTACTGGTCTTTGTCGAAGAACTTCTCAGCCGCCTCGTCAAAGTTGTCGCGCAGAGCCTGGACAGCGTCGTCGCCCTGCTCTTTTCGCTCGATCTGGTAGGTCTGGTTGTCGTCGTAGGCGCGCTGAAGGACGTCGGCGCTGGCACCGGTGCTGTAGAGCGCAAGGAGATGGTGGACAATCTAGAAGCATGTAAGCAAAGGAAGTCCTCTAGAGAACTATTCAAAGACCGGCCCCATTTACATGGTTGTGGTATCCCCTGGGATGATAAAACACATTGTGCTTCTACAGAGAATAGGTGTCAGTTATGCTGCACCTTGTCACCTCGAACCAGACGCGGGGTTCGGTCCCGGCGTACCTCCATGTCCTGTTGCAGCAGCGCGCTGAGCTTGGCTGCCGTCTCAGGTGTCTGCTTCATACCGAGCATGCCCGTCTCCTCGGCGCCGATCAGGATGCGCGTCGCGGAACTCATGGTGTAGTGCTTTCTGCGGCTCGTTGCAACTTGCGGTGTTGTGTGATTCGTTGTTGCTGCTCCGGGGGATATAATAGGCGATGCGATTGTACAGACTTCACCCGCAGCAGTGGGAGGCGCATGGGATTATTTTATAGAGGTATATGCAACCCCGGGAATGCATCGCAACCCGCTTACTCACGGTGTGTCGTTTCGTCAAACGGAAGGCCCCCGTATGAGGAGCTTGAACGGGAGCCGGAGACGGCGGCGCGCCGACCTGCGATGCGCCGACAAGATGCTAGGTTGAATGCGTGGTCGGCTGAGGGCGCAGAATAGTGCAGATGGTAGTGCTTGACAGGCAGGCAATAAACGAGTACCAAGACAAGACGATTCTCGCATGCAAGGTTGCGTTCGGACTGGGGAAAGACTCGGAGCTGATGTCAGTTGTGGCGATGCGGAGCCCCGATGACGCTAGAATTAGAAAACGGACGACGCGGATTGGCTCATGCCATGGCCGCATTCTAGAATATAGCATCCTTGTTCTGACCCCCAACGAGCTATTCCGATACGGTGCCGGCCCGGCATCAACATGGTGCTAGCAAACAGACAAAAAAGAAAGAAGAAAAAAAAAAGAAAGAGTGACGAGGATTCAATCTTGGCAAAACAGGACAAGTGTGAACTGTACCGGGAATAGCGGCGAAACATTATACTGATGATGGGGGAAGTAGCTGTTTTTAGAAACAACGGGCGTCATACTGGCCGAAGACCGACGCAATGTCGGGCAAGAATGCGGCCGTGTGCCGAAGACAGCCAAGGTGACGAAGCAGTCTCAGACTCGGGGTCGCTGATTGATAAACGTATAAATAAAGAGTTGCGACCGCTTTGACGTTATTACGTCGGCAACCAAGACGAGCCCGCACCTCCGTAGAGTCGCATTTCTACAGATAACAGCATCACTGTTGCAGCCGGCCAGGTGGGAGGCTGGCTACACGTGCCCTTGTCAGCCCTACACCCAACCCCTTTTCCCCCTGCCCTGCAGATTTATATTATTATCAGATACGGTCCGAGAAAAAGATTGGACATGATTAAGGGGGCAGGTCCGTGGCTGTGTTGGTTGCAAAACGCATATGTGACAGGTCGTGGCTCTTGGTGGAAGAAGCCCATGATGCCTCGGCCGGATGGACAAGAAGCACCGGCAATTCAAGGGCGTATGTAGTCCTTTGTCGGTTTCGGAACGCGCGTTATCTCAATGCATCATATGTTTACGTCTCCTTTTTTCCCAACGACGTCGAAAAGCAAACCCCCTCCTCCCTCCCCCCTTTTGAGTAGTATTAGTACTATGGACCGTCACGAGAGCTTTTTTTGGCTACACCCCTTTCACCCTGCGGCAATATCGTACAGCCTACTCTGTAACTAATGCAGGGCGGCCAATTCGACCGGTGGGCCGAGGTAACCGGCTGTCGGACAAGGTCGATCGTCTTCCGCGACAGATTGTATGGACACGCGAGTAATAAGCACAAAGTTTCCCCTCTCCCGCGCGCGCCCAGGCACAGCAGCTCTCCACATGAGCCGCATCTCGGTTGTACAGATGCAAAGCGTCAAAGCCCCCGGCACGCCATCTCGCAACCAACAAACCATGTAGATGGCGGCCTTGTCCCCCTCACTCGGACCCTACCTAGGTACATAGTATGTAGCCCTCTCCCCCTCCAGCGCCAAGTGGGCTAGGCGAGAAAGTTTGTTCGTTTAGTAGCCAGAGAGCCCAACTTCCAAGGCACCGCAATACATTGTAGACATTGTGCTGCCTTCTCGTGCCCGGCCCCCGCGTTTTTTCTTGCCCACTTCGCGCGCACTAGAACATCCATCTGGGTCAGGTTTACCCCGCATCCTGTTCTTCAATACCATACGTGGCCCCCCCCGGGTTAATAAGGTGTGAACGGACACGGAGGTACTACAAGTTGATAGTATGTGTGTGCATGAACGTGCTCGGGACACAAAAAGGGGCTTAGCTTTATGGGATTCTTGTAAAGGGGGGTGCGCCGTGTTTAATTTGCTGCAGAACGCCCATTGTCACGAGCCCACATGTGATATGTGATGCGTGGGGAGGGCAACCCCAACTAAAAGTATTAAGCCCGGCCAACGCCAGCCTCGTTTTTTCTTTGAGCCTCCTCTACTTTTAGCTTTTCTCTCCCATTCTCCCTTTTCTCTCTTTCTCTCTTTGCACTCACGATTTATGCTGTTTCATTTCGCCCAATAGACCTGCTAAAACAGTCTGCGCAATCCCCCCGCTGTATCAAAGCCAACAGCCCGTTTTCCAACCAACAACCCCAGACCAAAAAGAAATCTCCCCTAAACCATGACGCAAAACCAAATCCCGCCGGGCCACCTCGGCAACCTGACCGAGGAGCAAGAGGACAAGCTGCGGCAGCTGTGGGCCTTTGCGTTCCAAATGCTCGAAATGTACGAGAAAGAGGCGCGCATCTTCGAAGAAAAGAAGGCGCGCGGCGAAGTCGACGACACGCCCAGCAAGCCCTCGGGCGGCAGTGGCGGCGGCGGCTGGGGCATCTTTGGCAAGAAGAAGGCGACGACGGAGCTGACGCACCCCAAGTTCCCCAACTGCGTCAAGGAGATGCAGAAGCTGATGCCGGCGGACGAGCCCAACAAGGAGGAGCTGGTGCGGCTGGCCATGGAGGCGCTCGACGTGTACACGCCCGAGACGGCCCGCGCGCTCATCGTCGAGTCGGTCAAGCACGAGCACCCGGACACGCTGGCGCTGCGCTTCCTGCGCGCCCGCAAGTGGAACCTGATGCGCGCCGTCGTCATGCTCGCCAAGTCGCTGCGCTGGCGCGTCGAGGAGATGAAGGTCGACCGCGTGCTGATGCGCCAGGGCGAGGGCTTCATGTTGGAGAGCGAGGTCGCCGGCGCCAGCGCCCAGGAGCAGGCCCTCGGCAAGGACTTTTTGAACCAGATGCGCTGGGCAAAGGGCTTCTTGCACGGCGTCGACCGCGACGGACGCCCGGTCAACTACATTCGCGCCGCGAAGCACCGCGCCGCCGACCAGAGCGTCGAGGCCCTGGAAAAATTCACCGTGTATAGCATCGAGCTCGCGCGGCTGTCGCTGCAGGCGCCCGTGGAGATGGGTGTAAGTGGAAAGATGCGAACCACAGAAGAAGAGCGTTGACTAACAAAAGCGTTCGCGCAGACCATCGTGTTTGACCTGACGGGCTTTTCCCTGTCCAACATGGACTACGTGCCCGTCAAGTTCCTCGTGCAGTGCTTCGAGGCCAACTATCCCGAGTCTCTCGGCTGCATCCTCGTGCACAATGCCCCATGGGGCTTCGGCGGTCCGTCCCCTCTCCCCCCTTTCCCCCCTCTCCCCCCCTAAACTAACCCTTCAACAGGCATCTACCGCATCATCGAGCGCTGGCTCGACCCCGTCGTGGCCTCCAAGGTGCACTTCACGACGGGGCCTTCCGAGATTGCAAAGTACATTGCGCCGGAGCAGCTGGTGAGCGACCTGGGCGGCACCAACCCGTGGGAGTACGAGTACGTGCCGCCGGTCGACGGCGAAAACGACCGCATGGAGGACACGGCGACGCGCGACAAGCTGCTGCAGCGCCGCAAGGACCTCGTCGCCCGGTTCGAGGACAAGACGCGCGAGTGGATCCGCGTCGCCGCCGCCGGCGACAAGACGGCCAAGGACAAGGTCAGCGCCGAGCGCGACGACATCGCCGCACAGCTGGCCACGAGCTTCTGGGACCTCGACCCGTACCTGCGCGCCCGCTCGCTGTATGATCGCCTCGGCGTCTTTCAGGGACACGGCAAGGTCGACTGGACGGCCGCCAAGCGCACCCAGGACGCGCTCAAGGCAAAGGCCGAGGCCAAGTAGCCGAGATGGTGGCAGTGTATGTATCAGGTGGGATGGAGTAGGCGGATCGGGGTCGAGTCATGCATGAAGCCATGTTATGCCGTGTGTTTATATAGCCGTCGTCTATAGAATCGGGGGATTTGGATATTTTAAATATTTTTTTAGTTAGTTCACGTCATCAGTTTCAAACTCGTTTTTCTTTTCATAGTTCCTCATCGCAGGTGTGTATTCTTTCGTCCATCTGTGTTTGGACCGTGTGTGTCCAAGCAAGCACACGGGTATCTGACCAAACAAAAAAAAAGAGCCATCATCTTTCTAAACCAACATCATTACATTTTCGCATTGCAAAATACTTTTTTTTTCGTTTCCAATAAAATCATGGCGAAATGAGTCTACGCCTTGCGCTTCTTGGAGGTGTGCTCGCCGTCAGCCTCCTCCATCTCCTCGTCCTCGTCGTCATCGTCGTCCTCAAAGTCGATATCGGAGAGGGCGTCGTGCTCCATGGCGGTGACTAAAAAATCTACTCGTTAGCATCATCTTCCAATGTCGGCCTTTATTTCCCTGGGTGGGCGGGGTGTCGTGGCAACTCACTAAAGTACTTGATGGCGTTGGGCCAGACATCCTCGGCGAGGCTGACGGCGAGGTCGTCACCGGTGGGGAAGATCTCCGTGTCATACTCGTCGAGATCGTCGTCCTCATCGTCGTCGTCGTCCTCGGGGACATCCTCGCCCGCCCTGCGCTTCTGTCGCTTCTCCTGCTCGACCTTGAACGCCTCGGCCGACTCCTCGGCGGAGACGGCGCGTCCGGCAAAGCCAAACCAGGCGAAGAAAGAGACGCCGCCGAGCCCCGTCGACTCGATGAGGGCCAGCAGCGACGCCTTGGGCTCGGCCTCGTCTGCCAGCTTCTGGCCGGCGGCCTTTTCGGCGGCGTGCAGCTGCACGGCCAGGTCCAGCAGGCCCTGCGTCAGGTCCTTGTCCTTGGACTTCCAGTTGATCCGGACCGGCTCCGACACGAGGCCGGTCCAGCCGTCCTTGGCGTAGCGCCACCAAAACTGCTTGGAGAGGGACTTGTCGGAGAAGTACTCGTTTTCGGAAAAGGTCATGGTGATGCGCACGCTGCGAGGGTCGCCGCCCGAGGGCAGCTCGAAGCGGTCGACGTCGAGGCCGACGAGGTGGTTGAGCAGCACGGCCGAGTCGGTGGGCTGAATGTACTCGTCAATGTCGGGCGGCGACTGCTCGAGGACGAGGGGCCAGAAGTTGGGGATGTCGGCAATGGTGGCGGCGCGCTTCTCGTAGAGCTTGGCGGACAGCTTGGCCTGCTGACGGACTGTGACTTGTTAGATGATTGGGTTTATTTTTTATTTATTTTTTTTTTTTTTTCCGGAGCGGCTTGCAACGTACGGAGCTCAACCTCGACATCCTCAAAGTCATCCTCGAGCTCCTGGAGCTTGCTGTAGGAGACGGAAAACTCCATCTTGTCGTCGGCCATTGTGTAGGTTATTGATGAGGTATAGGCAGAAAAAAAGTTGATGTGGAGGGAAAGTATTCGACGGAGGGAGGGCACAACAGGGGACAGCTTTCAACTTATAACGCCACGTGCAAAAAGGCAAAGGAAAATTTTCCTTTGGCAACGGTTTGTACTCCTCTACATGACATAAACAACAGTGGATATGAATATGGATGCCTATGGTTGGCGGGCGGAGCCAAGAGCAGCTTGTACAGCTGTGTCGAGCAACATGCAAGCTATTAGTCGGTGAACAACTTTGCTGTCGCTGCCTGTTCTTGCCTGTTTGATTTTTTTCTCTAGTTACAAGCTTCAAGACAGCGGGGGCCTGAGGGGCATGGCTGATGTCATTGGTGGGCAGGTCAAGCGTGACGAGGGGTCGGGGCCTGGCTTGGCTTTGTGCCTAGTAAATGATTTATTAAGTACTCTGTACTAAGGTAGCTTTTTCAGGGTCCCCAGCTTTTGGTCTTTATTACGACGCCGGCTGTACACCAGCGCCAGATGACACGGCACGTCGTACTGTCGTCCAGGCAGTGACAGTGACGGAACATTTTGGTGGCATACCGCATCTGCAGTTACCTAGGTAGTGTTACTTTATTAGGTAAGTACCTAGGTACCTACACGCGTGAGGCCTGTCTTTTGACAGGGCACTAGACACGTTTTCTATCCAACATGTAATTTTCCCCTGACTATCACAACGCTATCAACGTATCTAACACGGCTTATAAAAAATATGAATGTTTTCTTATACGTAATAGCAGCCTAATAGCGTTATGATAGGGGAAAAGTATCTAGTGCTCTGTCTAAAAACAGGCCTCACTCGCTTAGGTATGTAGGTAGCTACCTGCCTTGGAGGTAGGCACGGTAAGTACCTGAGTACTTGGCACAATTGTGCCCTCGAACTCGACCTCGACTTGTACTCGCCCATGGTCATTGCCACTCACCCCCTCAAATCTACCATTTTGCTTCCTCACCCATCATATTGTGATCCCACTGGACCTGCGATACCACTGGAATGGTAGTTTCGCTGGAATTGATACTCGAGTCGTGAAAGGGCCTGGCGCGAATACCTCGTGTTTGCCACTGTACACCTTTCTCCTTGAGCTCTGGGCTTCAATCAGACAAGCAGCGGCCAACTTTCTTTGTTATACAAAATGACCAACGGCTACTCTTCACCTGAAAAATTATCAAGACACCGACACATCACTGAAACGGATCAAAGGAATGAGTCACTCCTCCAAGGATTTCATTCACAGGCCGGGCCGCCACTGGTAATTACGACTTGGGCAAAAGTGCAGAAACTGATTGAAAATAGCAGGACACAATCTTGGCGATTTACATGACCAAGTAGGTCGGGATGGACCAATACAACAGCTAGCATAGACGCGACCAGCGGGAAACCCCAATCCGCATCATCGCCAAGAGAACTGAATCCATCATCGTACATGAGAGCAATCCGGGGATACAAATGCGTGAGTGTTTATGGATGGCTCCACCTTGATACAAAATCGAAGTCGCCTTCATTTTTTCCATGATCGCTCGTTACCCAAATGTTGCGCTCACTCTTTGCACTGGCCGAGTATATAAGTGGCAAAGGGAGCGGCAACATCATGTGACCCGATATCGGGACCATCTATGACAAGCACGAGGTGACTTGCGAACACAAAAGAGACGGAAAGAAACTACGACGAGAATACTCAGAAATGCTGTACGTGAAGTTATCTGCTCATCTCCTTGCCACGCCGCTCATCGGCACTACCAAGGCATCTGACAGACCAACATCAAAATTCAAATTCCAGGCAACCCAGAGAACTTCACTTTTGTGCGCAATACAAACCACAACCAACTCAAGTCGGGTCAGCTGGGACTATATAAAAAGCACTTCGCACAGATGTAGAAGAAAACAAGGCCTTCATTACAGCTACAAGAACAGTCGGAACGCCGTTTGAATTGATATCAAACCATCACAACCACAGCCACTACAACAAGCAGCCAACCAGCCAAAACATATAAGACAGCCAAGAACTAAGACAGCCAGGCCGAGACAGTCAGGACCGCAAGACAATCAGGACAACAAAGCAACGAAAAGCACACCACAGCCAAGCCATGGGACACGACTCGCCCGACGTCAAGCCTCTCTGGCTCGTCCACCCCCGTCTCGACGCCAGCACCTACCGCGACCGACTCATGGGCAGCGTCGTCGCCTACCCGCACCTTCCCACCGAGCGGCACATCCCGTGCGCGTCGGCGCGGCTGCCGCGGGACATGGTCACGAACCTGGACCCGAAGCCGGTGCGCCTGCGGGACATGGCCTTTTGGCACGCGCGCATCCACGACGCGCACGCCGCGGCCTCGCTCTCCGACGCCCTGCGCTTCTTCGCCGTGCGCGCGCGCGCCAGCCGCGCCGCGCACGTCGCCACCGTCGCCCGCATGTGGCACATGGACGCCCCGGCCGACAAGTTTGCCGCGCTGCTGCGCGACCCGCAGTACCACGCCGAGCTGCTGGCCCTGCTGCGCGCCGCGCCGCACCGCGCCGGCTACTTTGTCACCGATATCGTGACGGCTGCGAATCTGGAAACGAGGCAGGCAACGGCGCACGGCGCCGGCGCGGGTGGCGGGTTCACCGTGCCGGCCGGGGCTGGCGCCGAGGCCAGTTGGCGCCTCGACGCGGAGACGGGCGCCGACGTGACGTACGAGGACGAAATGATTGTCTTTGTGGGGTACAGGCTCGTCAGGCTCGAGAAGCTGACGGGCGCGCGCGCGAGGCTGCGCGCGATGCTGCGAGGACCCAGGTTTGCGTTTGCGGTGCAGCATGCCGCCGACTACTGGCCGGCGATCAGGGACGGGCCTGTGCCCGGACAGGTCGAGCCGTTTCTCGGCGCTGCGCTGCGGGAGGAGCAGTCGGTGCTGGTGCGGACGGCGAGCAGGCAGTTGGCGGACGAGGCCATTGTCCGGGAGCTCACGTTTGATATCGAGGTTGTGGGGTGAGATGGCATCCGGGACGACAACATTTTTCTTGCGTCATCTTTTTCCTCCCAGCAAAGATTGTTTACCGAGCTGCCTGCCCTGCCGAAGAGGGTGCGACAGGGAGCCGGCGCGGTTTCGCGAGATCCTTTCTTATTTCAAGTCATGATACGTTTGCTTTATCTTCAACATACCCCTTAGACTACTTAGATTACTTAGATTATTTGGATTACTTATATTCCTTAGAACACTTAGATCATTTTGATTTGTCATATTCATTATATATATATTATATTTGTTGAGTCGGCCATTTATTGGGTGCTGTTAAAATCTTGCCATACCCTACACTACCCGCAGCACCACCGACTCGATGAATGACGACGTCGCTATTCGTGAGCCAACTATTGGCGCAGAGGGCCTGGCTACCTGAATTGAATGATGTTTTTGGCAGCTAGCGTTTGCATAGTCTTTACCTTCCGAGTCTCTTTGTCACATTTGTTGCAATGCCCCTCCGAGATTAGGCTGCCATGCAGCGTCACAGATCTAATTTCATATATGTATATGTACAAATTTGATTGCTCATCCCATCCGTGTGCAATCTTGCGGAACAAGGGACTGATGCAATGAAACGCCCGCCATCCCTCCGAAACGCCGTCAAAAAACAAGGGGAGGTTCCAGTTCGCCGAATGGTCGGAAGACTAGACCCCCCGAGGCAAAACAGCACAGGTTATATGTATACAAAAAAGGGGCCGGGCCCAGTACCAGCCACGATGTTGTAGCTAATCACCAGCTACAACAAGTCGTCCATTCTCCCAACTTGCTCACGACTCCTTGACATCCACTGGGCGCTCCGTAGCAGCCGGCGGTGGGGGGGCCGGCGGCAGCGGGGCCGGGTACGCCTTGGCCGCGTCGACAATGAGCTGATCGTCGATGCGGGCGGTAATATTGGGCCCGGCCTCGACGCGCTTCCAGGTGCGGATGCGGGCGGCGTTGACGTCGATCTCGTAGAGGCGGACACGGCGGAGATAGCCGCCGTAGCCCGCGTAGCCACCAAAGCCGACGCCGCCGGCGTAGCACATCCAGAGGGCTGGATCGCGGCGCTCGCCCTGCGTGGAGAGGATGCAGTAGTCGTTACAGTGGTCACTACGGCGTGTTAGCGGAGGGGAACCGGAAGAGCAAGGAAGGAGTACGTACTGGCCGGCGCTGACCATGAGGATGCCCTTGTCGACGAGGGCGTCGCGAAAGCCTGGGTTATACAAGGGTGCGGTGACACCCTCGAGCCACTGCCCAACCCATGTCTGGTTAAAGTCGGCATACTCGGTAATCGGGATATGGATAAAGGCAATGTCCATGTGCTGGTGCGTGTACTCGGCGTGCGGGCGGACCAGCCGGTCGGCCGTCTTGTTGAACCACGCCAGCTGGCTGGGCTTGACCCAGTCATAGCCGGGGTACTGCCGCTCGTTGGGCGAGTAGGAATGAGTGTCGAAGAAGTAAATGGTTATGGCGGAGTGGTCGGAGCCACTGCGGCCGAGCACCTCGACGTAGTAGTTGCCGACGCCGTCGACTTCGGCCGGGCCGGCGGTGGCGAGCGAGTACGGGAGGGACTCCATGAGGGCCATTTGAGCCTCGCGACCCATGGCTTGCGCGTCATCATGGTTGCCAAAGATGGCGGCGTAGGGGAGCTTGCGCTCCTTGAGCTTAAGCGCAATCTTGAAAATGGCCTGCAAGTTTGTTTAGTAGGTGTCGATGTGTGCGGGCATGGGTAGGCACTTACGGACTGCGGATCGGGCGCCGTTTCGCCATTGACCTGATCGCCGCTGAGGACGACAAAATCCGGCTTTTCCTCATCAATCATCTTGTCGACAAACTCGAGCGTGCGGGGGTCCGCCTCGCACTTTTCGCCCTTTGCGAGCGGTGGGAAGACGTCGCGGCAGGCACCGACGCCGGTGCTCAAGTGGAGGTCGGCAATCTGTAGAATCTTAAACTTGCCGCTGTCTGGGATGCGCGGCGTGGGTTTCTTGCGCTCGGCGGGCGCGCCGCGGCGGACGGTGACGTGCGCCGAGTGAAAGGTGCCGCTGGGGTCAATCTGGAGGGGCGTGCCGCGAATGGCCCAGCCATCGCGAGCCTCGACGGCGTCGTCGCCAAAAAGCACGTCGACATTGGTGACGGCCTCGTCCGAGTCGCTGGCCACTTTTTGGGACGAGCGCTTGACCCAGAGGCCGCCGGGGCGGGACTCCCAGGCCGCGTGGGCGTCGGGTTTGGCGTCTTCCGGCTTGCGCGGGCCGACTTTGAGATCGATGACAACGGAATCCTTGTCGGTAAGCTCGGCCTCGTGCTTGCGGCTGACAAAGAGGTATGCGCGGGTCGTCCAGGCGCGGCCGAGGAAGAGCTCCTTGTCGATGCGGTGCCACTTGTTGGGGTCAAGGTCACACTTGGAGAGCGGGTTGACAGTCGAGCAGGTGACGAGTGTCACATCGGTGACGACGTGGCCGGGGTGGTGTGTTGGTAGGTAGTTGTGCAGCGATGTGGGCAGGACTCGGTAGCTTCGGTCGAGGAAGAGCACCACCAGGACGGTGAAAACGGCCGCCGCCGTTAGCTGTATCAAGTTGCGAACCTGTTTCGGGGGAGAGTCAGTGGCGGTTTGGAGAGGGGGTCGGCACGCAGCAGGCAGAGCTCACGATTCGTCGCGTCATGTTGTGATTATGTTGTCAAGGATTTTCAAGGAATAAGAAGAAAGGCCCCGGCGAGGGCAATGTATTGCTGCAAGATGCCGTCAACGGCGGCGTTCTCGTGCGGTTGGACTGTACGCTACGTCCAATGTCAGCTATCGCATCGTGGTAGTGACGTCGGTCTGGCAGAGCGAAAGAGTTGTGCGAGCGAGAACAGCGGATTGATGGCAATGCGAAGTACTTGGACAAACTATTGCGGCGATGGAGAGATGCGATGTTGGAAAAGGGGTGCACGTCAGGGTTTGGATGTTGCAGTTGAACGGCACCGTCGGGTGACCGCAAGTGCAAGTCTCCTGGGAAAAAAGTAGCTTGCTCCATCAGGCCAGATTCGACCCACGGTGGAGTGCGTAGACGGTAGACGGCCCCCTATGGAGGGGAAGGCGGGATTGATATTGGAGGTGAAGTGTCGTATTTGGAGGGGATGGATAAATATAGAATGCTTTCGTGCTCGAATATTACTGAAATTGTATGTATTTATTTATAGTTGCGGAAGCGGGAATAGTTGTCGCGTACTCTGTACACTCGGCTTGTCGGCCCATGAACACGACGCCTATTGAGCGGCAGATACCGGCAGTCAGATGTCACCTTGATATTGCACCGAAAACGTTGACCGTTATAAATCAATCTGACAATATAAACCTCCCTTTTTCACTTATACTTTTTGGATCAGCTTCCCTAGTTATCTGGCTGCCCTGCCCGTTGTCGATAAAAGTACTTGTCATTCAGCCAATTCGAGGTGTGACGCGATGTACTGCGTACAGGTGTAATTGCGGATACGTCTCGAGCATGCCTTAGTACTAAGGAGGTACTTCCAGGAGGTACTTCCAGAGCACCCAGAGCACAGGTAATACTAAAACGCGGCACGCACTCGCTGTGAGCCTGCAAATGCGCCGCCAGCCACCCCCTGCTCAGCCAGGAACAGGCGTCGCCAGTTTGCTTGCTGTACGAATGTAGTACCTCTAGAGTCGCTTCACATCAACACGCGCGCGCGCCAACCTTCCTCATCTTCTCAACTCATCACCCAGTTCGCCCACCACCATCCGCATTTGCGCGTTACCCACGCTACCATTCATTGAGGCGCATACACACAACTGTCAATTATCCAGTCTCATCGTACCGCTCGCGAGTGCGCGCAATCACCGCGCCCCTCTCCACCAACCCGCGACCTGCACTCCTTTGTCTCGCAACCCAACACTCTCCTCGCCCATTCACAGTCCTATCGACAATCGTCCGCACAATGGCCGACTACGCTTCGATGAAGGTGCCGGAGCTGAAGAAGCTCTTGGCTGAGCGCAAGCTGCCCGTCACGGGCAACAAGGCCGATCTGATTGCTCGCCTCACAGAGGAAGACGCCAAGCCCGCCGCCGACGCCGAGGCCAAACCTGGTACGTTGGCTCGCGATATCCGCCGAGACGAGGGATACAAACCGACGACCATGTTTCTGCACCGTCGTCCTGCCATTCTACAACGCGATTGTGCCGTAAATGGTGACTTTGGACACTGGAACTGACATGTCAACACAGCTGGCAAAGACGACGAGATTACATACAGCGACGACGAAGGCGCGAAACCCGCCGCTCCCGCCGCTCCTGCCGCTGCCACGGAGGCTGTACCCGCTGCTTCTGCTGCGCCCAATGATGCTGCCGCCGATGCCGCCGCGCCTACCAAGGGCGACGCCGCCCCCGCTGCCGCCGAGCCGGAGCCCGCCGAGCCTGTCGCGCCCCCTCCATCCTTCGCCATGGGCCTCTCCTCGACGACCGCGGGTGAAGAAGCCAAGAAGCGCGCCGATCGCGCGAAGCGATTCGGCCTCGACGAGGATAATGAAGATGCCAAGAAGCGCGTCGAGCGCACCCAGCGCTTCGGCCTCGAGGACAAGGACGTCTCCGGCCTTGACGCGGCCCTGCCCGAGCGTAACTTGAAGCGCGGCCGCGGCCAGCACCAGGACGGCCAGCGTCCCGGAAAGCGCCAAAGCACAGACCGCAGAGGCAACGACCGCCGCAACGGCGGCCGGAATGATCGCCAGGGCGGCGGCGGTAACACCCAGGCAAGGGGCTCTGGCATTTTGAACAACCCCGCTGAAAGGGCCAAGGCTGAGAAGCGCGCTGCTCGCTTTGCTGCTGCGTAAAGCAACTGTCATGACCGAAAAGAGGGAACTATAAGATTTGAAAAGCGGAAAAAAAAAACGTAAAACTTTGCCAGACATGATTTCGAAATAATAGTTGAAGTGAGTTGAGCGATTTTTGACTTTCATTGCGCATTGTCGCGTACCTGGTCGCATCTGTTCTTGATGTCCAAAGATTCATACTGTCGTTGAGACTGAGCTACACTAGAACATCGTTGCCCAAAAGATGCTCAATCCAGAGCGTCATTCAATGACTCGTGGAGGAACTTGTGCAACGACAACATGACTCTGGAATATTGCTCAGGGATACAAAAGCCTCCATCATGGCCCAGACTAGACTGCAAAATTTTCACGAGAACAAAGTACAAGACTCTTGGGCAGACTTGCATGCAATTCCAATAGTACAGTCGTACTGCATGGCTCATTGGTGCCCAACTTTGGCTGTATCGAGGGCCCCGGCATCTCATCTCGGCTGCATGCGGCGTAATATTATAGGAAGAATTTCAATCAACTGCATAGATTGTCTTACCTCTTTGGTATATTTCAATAGTTAATTTGTACCGTGTGTGCCTTTATATTTCATGACACAGAACTTTTGCTGCATGTCCGGCCCCTTACCCACCACACCTCTACGGGCGACCAGGGCCAGGATCGGGGTCAAGATGGAATTGGGTGCGACATGCCACGGACTGCTGTACCAACGCGGCCCAGTTCCCGTCAATAGACACACGTTTACGTTCTACAGACTGCCCGCTTGGGGGTCTGTGTGTGCGATTTTCGGTCCGGCACATGGCTAGAGCAGGCAAGGAGGGAAGGACACGCTTGGCGGGGGGGCATTTTGCTGTTGCGCAGATGTGCTATCCCGGCTCCGATGTGATTCCGGCAACATAGTTAGCGCTCCGGGAGTCAGCTGAAGTCCAACGGCTAGCAAATGAGATGCGGGCGGTACGCGCCGAAGGGAACCTAGACAGGGGCCGGTCCCTGAGCGCCGTATCGAGTTGGCGGCCATCACATTTCTTCCGACGACATGTCAACACACGGCCACAAGAGGAAGTCCCGAGTCTGGGTTGCCTTGGCGAACCATAACGTGTTGCTAGTCATCGTTCATACCGTCTCTATGACGCTGCATGCAAGACTGCTGCTTGATAAGGCTTGCTAGGCAAGTGTGTAGCCGCCTAGGGCCGTCGCGTCAGCGTCGAGGGTTGTGAATGGCGCAGAGGGCAAATGGTCAAGGCTTCCCAGTGGAAATGACGCAGGCGAGATATCGTCCGATAGGGCAATAGACAAGGCCAGCGGCAAGCCCTGCCCATGCTTGCGATGACAGGCTTGGCCAGGTGACCCGTTGTTGACCAAGCACGCAAAGCCCTGGTTTGAAGAAGCATTGTATGAGTGGTTGGAAGTGGAAGACGGCAATAGACGCGAAGGCGTCCTAGCCACCGGGGTGTTTTGAGGGAATCCTGACTCTCGGGTCATGAGGGGAGGGGGGCTCGGCAGCGTTGCAGGCGTCTACGCCTCTCATTTGCATCGTGGGTGAGCCAGCCACAGAAACGTCGAGCCTTCGCCATGTCAGCCAGCGACAGGCAACAGGGGCCATGACAACTGCCCTCTCGCAACAAACTAAGCGAGATGTTGCTCGTGGCACGTGAACCATATCGCACGCACGGGGCCAGAAGGAGGTGTGCAGCAAAATGGTTTGCGGACAATGCTGGCCAGTCAATGTCGGAGGACACTAGAGGCAACCTCTCGGGGTTTTGGCCCAGCAGCCAATAACGTGGCCGGACGGGCAACTTGCCCAGCCATCGTCCCGCAGACGCGCCAACTGATTGGCGCTAACAGGAAGAGGGCAACGTATATTCTGCACGGCGCGATTCGTCAGAAAGAGCGAAGCCGGCTGAGAGGGCAGCGCGCAACCCAGGCGTTCGGGATGGGATGCAGTAGTGAAAAAAAAAAAGATGGGTGTCAAGAACCGGGTTCGCCTTGTCTCGCTTCGGCTTACTCGACTGGTCGGTGAATGGATGAGGTGGGCAAACTGAGGGAGAAAGTCAGACGGACCCCACGGATTGGCCCCAACGAGTGGGCGATATTATGGTGATATGAAGAGCGGTCGGAGACGTCGGGTGACCTCAGGCCCTAGTTAGATAAGTAATACGTACGGTATGGCGGCGCCGGGGCGAGGGTATGCGGCGGAGGGACTTCGTATTTTGGCTCCGTGGGGACGAGCGATCTACGATTTGCCATTGAAAGCATGTCCCCAAGGTCCCCTGATGGGCCTCCGGGTCAATTGCCACCCTCTTTCGTTTCTGGTATCAGTTTGCACTTTGTAATCTGTAGGTAGACATCGACGGATTCTTGCTAGCTCCGGACCAGCCCGCTGTAGCCTTTTCTTCGCCTCCTTGGCCCTCCATGCCACGTCACTAGCCTCACTGGGGCGGCGGTTACTCCAGAACTGTGGCGAAGCACTCCTGACAGCCAGAGTCTCTGACGCAACTCGAGATGGCTTCTGCGTTTGCAAGGCGGCGGCGGCGGGCAGGCTGCCTCTTCATGCCCAACCCAAGCCCCAGATTCGGACTCCGACACCGTGCATCGCAGTCTGCCCCATTCCAGCGTATGCACGTCTTGCGGCATTGCTCATAGTCATATGCAGTGGCCCGCGTTTACCATGTTACTGGGCTGCCACGATGCCAATATACGTATTAACTACATGGGCTAGTCCTGCAGGCTTTTCAGCTTGGCAGGCTGGCTGCAGCAAGAAAATCCCGCCTGGGCAATTGTGTCTAGTTATTGCGAGCACTGCCTTGCAAAAAGCTTTTTTGCTGACTGGCACCTAGTCAATATCATGGTCCGAGAATAGTATCGTCATGACGAGCAACGACGCACTTGCCAACGAAGCTTCCCAAGAGGCAACAACTGACAACGTGGCACTTTTGCCACTGAGTGCGAGGTTGATACAGCTTCGGCAGTCAGTAACGACTTCGTACTCGACGCCCTCGGGTTGCACCCGGGTGTGCGTCTACAACTTGTGCACAGTAGGGAATACGGTCCACGAAGCCCGCAGACAGTTGCCGCTGGTCACCACCAAAGGAATGCGAGCTCTTGCAAACGAGCCATGCGCACGATGCACACGAAATACTTGCATTTTGACTGCAATTCTCCAGAAAACCCTTACAGGGGTCGGAGAGGCCACAACACTGCGCCGCCATTGGACGAATATTGTCCAATCGTACCTCTAGACTGTCCAGACTTTCAACCAATTGCTCGCCTCCATCCAAACTCGAACCAAATGGCGCGAGACTTTCGCGAAAAGGAGACGAGCCCTGCAGTGGATGAGGGTGGGCACAGACTTTTTCATTGTCTAGGCAGGACGGGAGATGCTTCCGGTGCATTGTGCGGCTTGACTTTAGCTTCATGCCAACGCCCACACACGAGATAGGGATGATATCTGACTCTTCCTGATCATATATGACGAGCATTGCAATTCTTTTACGAATCCATTCTCTCCTCTTCGGTACGGTCTGAACGGTGGCGGGGACGAGTAATCTAAAGAGGCCATCGTGCGGGCCATGCAGCTCAAAACTGGAAGCACACGACGATCACTTACATCTCCATTTCCGGTGGATTCTGACCCTGAAGCTGAAGGCCGCTGGACACCAATCGCAGGATGCAGCCAGCCCCCCTCCCTGTCCCGTCAAACGGCCGGCCTGTGGGATAACTAACTTTGCAGCCGTGTTGCGCTAAACAGCCTAGTAACAGGGCACAGCATATCTCGAGGCTCCTTGCAATTACGGACCAAGATGGGCTTGCGTAGCACGACCTGTGCTCGATTGTTCGATTATTACACAAATCACCCGATTTATCGACAAAACCGCGCCGGTCGGCGCCATGACAGATTCAAGGGCTCTTGGTTTCTGTTAGTGTTTGCACTAACAACTCTGATGGGCAAGTCGGCAACCGAGGTGGTACAACTTGAAAGGCATTGTGTGTGTGTGTGCTTGGCACAACCACACCACCCCAACGAGTTTGCGCGCGCAACGGTTGGCGGGCGGCGCATTTTGTGGCGGGCGCCATTTTCCTAGTTGACTGCCAACTGCGCCATTCCCCAGTTCGTTTCCCAGATCGTCCTGTCGGAGGCGAATCAGTGAGACAGGCAGAGCTGCATGTCCTAGACACGCAGCCTGTTAAACCGTTTGGCAGCATCCACCTCGGACGGGTGTCGAAAATCCCACGCATCACTTGCAATGCAAAGGAGGTGCTTTTGAAGGCCATATACTAGGAGAGATGAGAGGCTCTTGCTTTCCCGAGGGACTCGAGCAAGTTTCCAGGCCAATGGTGCCAGAAGACCATTAGCGCTCTGGGTTCCTGTTTTAGCGTCCAGCTAACAGCATCACCCCTCGGTTTCTTGAAGACTTTGGAGCCGATATCCACACGACGATAACCATCTACTGGCCACAACCCACGCGCCATGGACCATGGCACCACCACACAGCACCACCACCAGGGTGTTTTAGCACGCTTCTGTTACAGACCCTACTGGACTAAGTTCTGGGCCAGCGCGCCGGGCCATTCCTTCCCTGCCGTGTGCCAGGGACCACAAACAGCCGCCGTGGGTATTTGGAGCAGAATATATGGGAGAGGCTGACCGGTTGCAACTCGTCGCTCCAAGGCCCACCGTTGTGCTCCGTACGCCGCACTCAGTTGGTGGTCGCGCGCTCAGCATCAAGACAGACAAGCAGACAATGGCCCGCTCTCTCCATGGCGCGCAGGGGGGGGGGGGGTACCATTTCGATGCCCAATTACAGCGCCATCCCGGCACCGTCGCCCTCCCATAGGACAAGTTGCGCATGCAGGCTATAGGACAGTATTCCACTTGCATCACGGCGCAGTTCGCCAGTCAGGTGTGTTGCCTTGGGGGGAACGAAGGCCCGCCCGTCCACCCAACAAGATTTCTGTCGGTTGTGGCATACTATGCCCAAGTTGGCACTTTGTCCTTTGGCGTTCGGCGTCTCCAGCCATAGAGGGGTGCGCTCTCTGCCTGGGGATATGCGGCCAGGGTTGGCGGCCTTGTTGGAGGAGCGAAAATAGCGAAAATAGAGCCAAGCTCTGCACGCCTCTAAACTTTGCGTGCAAGTGCCGCCACCAGATCCCAGAACTGGCTGGTCATCCACGCCTCTGCCTCGCTCGCCTTTTGCCCACATCACTGTTTATCTTGCAGGCTCGTTGCTCGTCTAAATACCATGGCTATTCCGGTTGCCACACCACCCTGATATCTCGTTGTCATCTCTTTTTCTCTTCTCATCTATTGTTCTCTTGACTTTGGCGCTTATCTTATTCGACCTGAGCACGGCCAGACACAGTTTGCGTGTGCTACTCGACAACTTGAATACTTCCCTTTACGTCTTATACACGTCATTAATATCCTCGCCCTTTCACACCATCAGTCGCCATACCCTTGTTTTTCTCTTCGACTCTTCGACAGCAAAGAGCATTCTTTACCAGTCCCTGGCCCCCGTCCGCTTACCCGCACACTGTCGATTTTCGCTCCCCACCACCACTACCTCGCGCCGATTCCCCCTCCACCTGGGACCACCACTTTATTCGTATTTACCATTTGGTGTGCCGGTTCATTTCAAATCAACTCGTCCTTTTTAGCCTCTCACAACATACTGTGCCTGCAACATACCCCTTGAAGAGCCACTGGCGGCCTTCTACGACACTTGTACCCCCACGTGAGTACCGACATCTCACGGCCTACTCACCATTTCTGCAACGGTAGTTGGCCAACAAGAACATCAAGGACCAACTCTTCGAAAGGGAACCCTTTTTCTCGCCAGCCATTGAAGAGTAACAGCTAAAAATAGCTTCACATCACATTTTCGACTGTGCAGTGATACAGCGTTGTAAAGCAGGCTGTCACCTACTATGAGTCAAATTTGCTAGAAATCCCCTGCTGGATGCACCGCCCCCATGGCATCCCTCAAGCGAGAGTTTGGGGGATACGGCCTACCTGCAAACCCATCCGATGGCGTTCGATCACGGAGGCTGCAGGCTCCCGCTGCAGGAGGTCTACCCCGACCCGTCAACTCAAATGCAGCCCGGGAAGCAGTTTCGACAAAGCCAGAACTACCCAAGCAACATCATTCCAGAATACCAAGTAGGTCGATACGCGCACCAGGCAGATCTGAATCGGGACTGCCAGTCCCAACCTCGCCCCCGCAGAACCATGAGCCTAGGCGAATGCCCTCCATCAGCGTTTCTGGTTCCTCATCCTCGCGAAGTCGTACGCAAGGCAGCCTTGATTCGTCCTCTTCAGGCGTCTCTTATGAAAGCAGCTTGAAAAGTGCTGGAGAGCTATCAACGAGGCGAAGGTCAATCACGTCTCGCAACGCAATAGTTCCCGACGAAGGCCGTCGGGTTTCGGCATCGCCCAAAAGACAATCGATGGCATCGATTGATGAAGCGCTTGATATTTATCTTGACATTGGTACAAAGTCGGCAAAGCCAGACGCAGCTGTCACGAAGAAGTCGCCAGACTTGAGTTTTCCGGCTCCAAAAGCCCCATTCCTCTATCCTGAGCTGGATCGTTATCGCAACCATGAACAGCAATCCTCACTCGGGGGCCGCAAGGCTTCCACAGATGGTCTGTACAAACTGTCGACCCATGACCTACCACCTCCGACTCCTTCTAGCGCAGTCTTCTCGGGAAGCAGTTCGCAGTTGAGTATGACCAGTGCCAGTCCGTCAACGAAATTCTCGGCCTCTCCTGGACCCGGTCCCTACAGCCGCGACACGACACCAACCTCAATCTCGTCCCAATCGCCCGGTTTGATCGCACCAAGCCGCCCCAGCTACTACACAAAGCCAAAGCAAACAAGCCCAGCGTTTTCTAGACCCCCCGTTACCCGTCGACGGGCTGGTAGCATCTCTCAGGACACAGATTTGCTAGCTACCGACCCTCGGGGGCTAGATGCTGTCCGGGAATCGGTTACTTCCTCGTCATCAAGCTCAACAGTCAGGGAGGGCGGTCGAAGCACACCAAAAAAGCGTCCAGGCAAGCTTGGAACAGCCCCTCCTAACCCGCCACCAAGAAAATCATCCCAAAAATTCCAGAGGGCCAGGGAAGACTCCACGACGGATGAAGAAAGGGTACCCGACATCAACATCAGAGGAAGAGCTGCAACCTCTTCCCCGCAACGCCCGCCAATACCACTTCGCCCCAGTCGCAGAGGAACACCAGACCTGAAATCGCAATTGTTCGACCCCATCCCAGTCATTCAGAGCAACCTACGGGGTAGCAGACCCAGCTTGGGTGACGGAAGGGGCAGTGCATCTACGAGCCACTCTCGCAAATCATCCTCCCCTACCAAGCCCGCAAAGAATTCATCGATATCTCACCTTCCAGTTGATTTGGGCAGCGTCCTAGCATCAAAGGAAACCACGACATTGTCCAGGCCACAAACAGCCAAGTCCACTTCGAGCGCCAAATCCTCGTCAACTAGCCGCTTCAACTTCTTTGGGCGCCGGAAAACAAGCGAAGATCAAACAGACAAGAAAGAATCACAAAAGCTTGCGAGAAAAGGCCCAGTGGCCGGCACAGGCCACGAGGGCTATGGCAAGATTGGGGCTGTACGTCGCCGGAGTGGTGGCGCAAGTCACACTTACAACTACTCCGGGCCACAAGTCTCGCAAGAAACAAACCCAAGTGACGACGACTTATTCTTTGCTGAACGCATGAATCCAGTCATTATTTCGGGCGGTGGAGTGGTAGACAGGAACAAAAGCTTCGACTCGTTGCCGACGGACAACAATACTGGTCAACCGTTACGCAAGGAGAGCACCGAGCAATCAACTAAACTTCAACCCTCTCTGCTGCCATACAGGGAACGGCGTTTCTACAACAGCAGCGACTCGGAGGATGGAACCGAACGACCGACCCTGGCTCTTCGACGCTCTGTCCAGAGATTACAAATTGCGCCCGATAGTCCCCTCCGTCTCCCGCAACCGATCAATACATCAGGTGCATCGGCATCGCCGCTTACAAGCTTCGATACAAGCATTCTGTCGGATGACTCTCATCTGGAGCTTCACAGAGATGTCTCCCAAGGCTCTGCCATTTCGCAACTGGTTCCTCGCAAGTTACAGAAGAAGCAACGATCTCCGCGAAAGTGGAATTTCTTCGGACGGAGTAAGAATATCCCTGAACCTGACAGGGTCTCGAGCGCTACTGTTGCTGCAACCGTAACAACAGTGGAAGTCGACAAGCGCACCGTGCCCTTTTATGCGATCATAGACCCTTCTGAACATGGAGATGCCGAAGATTTCAAAGTTCATGACGTTTTGTATGCTGCGAATGTTTTACCACAGCACATGACGTCCACATCCTTCGAGATTCAGCGACCATCGCCCGTTCTTGACAGCGCCATGACTGCCAGCGCATCGACACCTGCCCTGAATGAGCAGGTCGTACCGAAAGCAACTCGCCGGCCGAGTCGACTACAGCAAGTTGGGCGCATTCCTAAAGTTGCTTCTCGCTTTCACAACCCTACTTCTCCTAGAAGTTTTTCCCGGCCCTTCGGAACAAGTATGCAGCAGCAGACTGGCTCCCCAGATCTAAGTGAACCTGAGAGAAGCACCCACGGCCCTAATCCGCTGTTTTCAATGGCAGCTTCCGGACTGTCTCCAGATCAGTCGACGCTCGGAAGTACAACTACGCAGACTGTCTCGCAGGAGTCTCGCAACAGTGGCATCATTGAAGACACACCGCCGACGGAGTTTTTGTCGTTTTCGCCGAGGAAGTTCTCTGTCGGGACAGCCTGCACAAGCTCTAGTTCATCCGGCTTCTGTTATGCTGGAGCTACAGCCATTATCCCCAAGCCAGAGGACCCCCCGGCTGAAGATGAAATCTGGGACGAATACAATGACTTACTGGGAGACGATGCGGAGCGTCTGAGGCGATCTACAACGTCTTCCAAGGGGACACCATTTTACCTTGAAAACTACCAGAATAGGCTTGGCAAACAACTCAACCTGGAATCCCCGGTAGTCGCTGAGAGAAAGGTTTCTATGCTCTCTGAACTGTCGCGATCAAGCTACTGCAGCGCCGACATGACAGAAAGACTCAAGGCAGCATTTCAACCACACCAATCTTCCCTAGGTACCGGTGACGAAAGCATTTGGATGAAGCGAAAGAGCGCCGAAACAGCTGGATCGCGACGTCACAGCTCTGTTTCCTCCAAGACTCGGTTTTCCGGTAGCAGCTCCAGTTCTTTCGACTACAGTTCGCCCTTGGCACAAGTCAACCTCCGCGTTGGCTCTATGACTGTCAGCAAGTGGCTTACATTTGGACACGTTTTGTTCAGCGACATCCGTCACGAGCTCATCGCAGACAAGTCCGACCCTTCTTCTCCCGCCTCTCGCCACTCCATCTTGGTCATTGATGGACTTGGGAACGACGACTGGTCCTTTTACGTTGCTGAGACATACCCCAAGACCAACTTCTACAACCTCTCCCCGCGGGCCCCTCTGGGTGAGAATACCAAAAAGACTGACTCGAACGCTCTCCTAAGTCCGCCCAATCATCACCAAGTCCAGTACATTGATCACCTTGGCAAGTTTCCCTTTGCTCCCCAGAGCTTTGACTCGGTCGTGTACCGCTTCCCGGTCGCGGCGCCCGAGTCGCACTACCGCAACATCATTGCCGAGTCTCGTCGCGTGTTAAAGTCGGGCGGGTACCTAGAGCTTGCGATTCTCGACCTCGACCTGAACAACATGGGCAATCGAGGCCGTCGCACCATGCGTCACCTGAAGGAGATGATTCACGAGCAGTCGCCTGGTACGAGCCTCGCGTCGGCTGCCGACATTCTCGTCAAGTTGCTCGGCCGGGGCGGCTTCTCGAGTATCCGGGCCGCCAAGGTCGGCGTGCCCGTGGCGAGCTCCATAGTTCAGCCACGGAGCAGCGGTGGCGGCTCCTCAGGCAAGAAACCGGCGCAGGCGCCGGCAAGCCTCTCGGACATGATGAAGGAGAATGGCCCGGCCGCGGATGCCAACATTACGAAGATGGTGACGCGCGTGGGCCGCTGGTGGTACACGCGCTGCTACGAGAATGCAGCGGGCGGCGCCAGGGATGGGCGCAAGAGCATCTGGGACGACAAAGCGCTCTTGAATGAGTGCCAGGAGCTGGGCACCAGCCTGAAGCTGACAGTCTGCTGCGCTCGTGCCCCGGACCGAGTGACCAGCCTGTAGGCGCACGGTTTCCGGCTCTTTTTTCCTTATTTTCTTTATTTCCCGTCTTGCTCTTCTTTAGAGATGTGTCGCAAGAAAGCGCAAGCTTTGCCATTGAATTTCTCAATGGTGGCGACATTCTGTTGTTACAACACACACCAAAAAAGACTTGGCAAGAATAGGTCTGCCAACTTACACGCTCAGTGCGAAAAGGGCTCGCGCCCGAATTCAGAATGCCCGTTGCTGGGCATTCATTTCTTTTTAACCCCTATCAAACTGCATGGTCCAGTTTCATTCATCCGATGGGCTGCCGAGACTTTGGCGCTTGCAATCCGACTGTCTTGTTGGACTGCGCGCGAGGGCTTAGCAGTGCTGGACATTGCAGACGCTCCCCTCAGCACCTAGCTTCATCTTTTTGCCCTCTCCCCTTGTTTTGTTTACATGTTCCTCGTTTTCCTTTATGGCATATTGTTTTTTGCCAGTGGGCTTATATACATGGAAGGCCTTACGTCGTTATGATGGCATGAAAGCGGCTTAAAAAAAAGGCAGTTCTGCGGACGATTTGGGTTGTTTGTGCGTATATGCATTTAGATACCCCCATCACATTGGATAGCATTGGCGTAATTAGCAGGCAGTTTAATTATAATTGATATTACGTTTGTTGTTCCACCTGGTCGTACAATATCGCAAAACGTGCTTGTCAATCTAGTATACAAAATGGAGTACATATATAGTACAAAGCAAACCCAAGACGTAGTGCTTGCTATTATGGTTCTGGTTCCGTTTCAGGCTTTGCAGTCGGTTGCCGATTCGTTCCAGCAGGCCACTTGCGATACACGGCAACGAAGCCACCGCCAGCGACACGGCCGCCGACCTTGGGCCGCATGACGACAACGGGTTCCGACTCGGTCGGGCATTCGTCCTCGACCCCGTCCTCCAACCCCTCTTCCATCGGCGGCACCGGCTTGGGCTTGACAATCTTGACGTCCCAGTGACGCCCACCACACCCGCCGTCCCGGACCCCGTCGGCCGTCGACGTCGTCGGCAGCTCCAGCACCTTTTCCAGCTGCAGCGGGAGCTGGCGCTCCAGCGCCCAGGCCTGGAACTCGGCGACCTGGCTGACCGAGGGGTTGAAGACGACGAGCACGCCATTGGGGTGCAGCGCGCGCACGAGCGCGTCGGCGTGCGCGTGCGCGGCCGGCAAGTCGAGCACGGCGCGCGCAAACACGGGAGC